TCATCATGTCCCCATTGATGCCATTGATGCTCATGATATTGATCACTGGATTGCCTGGTCCAGAGTCGATTATTTACCATGTTTACAGGCCGCCGCCATATAGCTGGAATATTGCCGATTGCGGTCTTAAACAACCAATCAACCAATTATTGGTTGCATGAGGGAAACCTAGTCTGACAGTCAGCAATCTTGACTGATTCCCATCACAGATGCCATGGTTAGTTTACATCCATCAGTGTGACTGATTCCCATCACAGATGCCATGGTTGGTTTACATCCATCAGTGTGACTGATTCCCATCACAGATGCCATGGTTGGTTTACATCCATCAGTGTGACTGATTCCCATCACAGATGCCAGTGTTGGTTTACATCCATCAGTGTGACTGATTCCCATCACAGATGCCATGGTTGGTTTACATCCATCAGTGTGACTGATTCCCATCACAGATGCCAGTGTTGGTTTACATCCATCAGTGTGACTGATTCCCATCACAGATGCCAGTGTTGGTTTACATCCATCAGTGTGACTGATTCCCATCACAGATGCCATGGTTGGTTTACATCCATCAGTGTGACTGATTCCCATCACAGATGCCATGGTTGGTTTACATCCATCAGTGTGACTGATTCCCATCACAGATGCCAGTGTTGGTTTACATCCATCAGTGTGACTGATTCCCATCACAGATGCCAGTGTTGGTTTACATCCATCAGTGTGACTGATTCCCATCACAGATGCCATGGTTGGTTTACATCCATCAGTGTGACTGATAAGTAAACATGGATCAATCCCACTAAAAATCACATCTTTTCTATCAATGCGAGCTGATCTCACTTGGTAAAAGGAAAGTTTACAAGACTTGGGCATTTACTGCTGGTTGTGATTAAAGCTCTGGATCCAGTAAATATAGCTGGTAGGGAGTGAGCTTTGCCAGCTTATAATAATAAGGTATACATCTCTCGTGTTTCTGTCTACAACACTCCGGTATAAGAAGCAGGATACATGTATTTACATTCAGAGTGGTCATATTCCTTCGTGTTTTAGGTTCACACCTTTCCTGGTGTATCTTATTCCAGAAATGGGCAGTAAATATTGACAGATCATAGCTGGGGCAAATCTGGTCCTCGTTCAACGAAGAGATTGTAGCACGAAGACTGTCCTGAAATTCTCACCAATGGTCAGCAGAATACAAGAGAGTCGTTTACTCTGATGTACATGTAATACCTTAGACTATACTTAGTCCCTGAATCTATATAATTTTTAAAGAAACAAATAAACACATTTAAATTGAAAAGGAGCCCAAGTGAGTTGGAAGATTCAGGGGAAATCTAGACTTCCTTCATTTAAGGCTTTATCATTGCAGGGAGGGCTATGCAGTAGGGAAAATAATGTGGTTCAGGGTCTCTCTGAGTGTAGATCCGAAGAGTGAGTTTAGTTTTACGCCACACTCAGCAATATTCATGCTATCTGGAGGCGGCCTGTAAATAATCGAGCCTGGACCAAACAATCCAGTGATCAACAGCACGAGGTTCGATCTACACAATTGGGATATGAAGACATGTGTCAACTAAGTCTGTGAGCCTGACCACCCGATCCTGTTAGTATCCTCTTGTAGAGGACAGCTCCATAGGTGCTTGGTGGGTGTGTCAGGTGAACATTCAATATTTTGACGGTCTAATCTAAACAAAGGGTACATGGACCAATCAAATCTAAGATTTCTACATGGTTTGGGTTTTGTTTCTTCACCATGGGAGTTGAACATTGAACATTTTGATTTTAGCAAAATGAAAATACTACAAATTTACCCTCGATAGTGCACATTTGGGAGATGAAAACAATGTACACAAAACCAAAGACACAGATTTCAAGATACAGAAAGCAGATATGATAGTCTGAATATGCTGAATGCTTCCTTCACGTGTGCCAAGACCTTCAAAGCATAGATACTGCTTGGCTGATCAGAAGGAATGATGGGGTAGCCTAGTGGTTAAAGCGTTCGCTCATCACGCTGAAGACCCAGGTTCGAATTCCCACACGGGTGCAATGTGTGGAGCCTATTTCTGGTGTCGCCCGCCATGATATTGCTGGAATATTGCTAAAAGCAGTGTAAAACTAAACTCACTCGCTTGCTCATCAGAAAGTTCACCTGAAGCAACCTTCTATCGAGACATCTTCAGGTCATGCAGAGATATTGTACCTGGGCTCCAGATAATTTTTCAACATCTGGAGTACATACTCCTTATTTTTTCAATATTGGGGTACTGGAAAACCTTAAGAGTACATTTTGAGTACTGAATGGAATTTAATGGCATATAAGTAATCTTGTGTTTTGTTTCATATGTGCACCACAACATTGCTACTCTTGTGTAAACAGGTCAATGAACAATAAAACAATACTTTTTCAGATAAATACGTCTGTAGATGATTCTAAGACCATACACCATTGCTGTGGTGCGTATCTGCTACATTTTCTAAATCATTTCCTACCGTATCGTGCATAATTTTTATCCGTATATACGCCAATATGGCCCTTATCTGGTGCCCTATTGTACAATATAAGATCTGATTCCTACAAGCTTCAGTACTTGCTAAGAATTTCATCTGGGCAGATGAAAATACAATTTTACTATACCAAGTTGGCAAATGTACCAATGCATAGACATTATCGTGAGCATGTAACACCAGAAATACCATGTCAACAAATCTTCACTGATATACTCAATCCTGTTATAACACTAGCTGCTCACAAATTGTGGTCACTGCAAATTTGTTACCTGAAATCACAGTTAAATGTCCCAAAATACAGTTCAAATTCTGCTCAGTCAAGAAAGCTCAAATAAGAATAGTCCATATCACAATGCTCAAATCTAAAAACAACATTAAGGCTATTAGATTCAAATGTTTGTGACCCAGACTCTGTTAGAATTCTACAAAAGCCTACATTTCCAGAATCATTTTTCTGCATAAACAACCAGAACCATGTGTAAATTTGGTATGTATACTCGCATACACAAAGTAATGTAAACTATGAATGTTATCACAATATGCAGTGTTGATACTCATCCAGTGATAATGATTTACTAAATAAAACTGTATCTCATCTCAAGCTTGTAATAGCATTACCTTCAACCCTATTCTCCATAGGTGAGGTGAGGTGAAATGGGTTTAACGTCGCACTTAACAATATTTTAACGCATATGATGGCGTGCATTCGTGTGTATATGTGGCTGCTTGTAATAGCCCAGACTTAAGCTGGAGATACCATGCAGCAGTGAAGCGTAATTACCCCACTCAGACACATTATACTGACTCTGAGCTGACCAGTCCTTGTTGTACCCATTAATGCCGAGCCCCAGGCAGGGACCAACAAGTACCATATTTTAACGTCTTTAGGTATGACGTGGCCAGGGATTGAACCCGCAAACTTCCTCTCTCCCGGGCGGACGCTTAGACCACTACACCACGGAGGTGGTCCATTTTCTCCATAAGTGAAGCAGTAGTTATAAGGTAGCACACTTGACAAATATTTACTAACTCCAAACTGCCAGCTTGCAACAGTATTAACTGGGTGAGTGAGTGAGTTTAGTTTTTCGCCACACTCAGCAATATTCCAGCGATATGGAGGCGGTCTGTAAATAATTGGGTCGTGACCAGAAAATCCAGTGATCAACAGCATGAGCATCGATCTACACAATTGGGATATGAAGACATGTGTCAACCAAGTCTGTGAGCCTGACCACCCGATCCTGTTAGTATCCTCTTGTAGAGGACAACTCCAAAGGTGCTTGGTGGGTGTGTCAGGTGAACATTAAATATTTTGACGGTCTAATCTAAACGAAGGGTACACCTGATCCCACCAGTCACCTCATGGCTACTGAAGATCAATTCTAAACCTGATCTTCATGGACTTGCAGATAACTGGCATCAGGAGTTGATTGCATATCTTATGTATAATGGGGTGGATTTTAAAGGATTAATTGATATTACATTATGCACCTAAGTATTTCAGCATGCATGATAGTTCATCAATCTAGGATTTCCTTATCATTGTCATTTTATTTAGATATTTACAGCAAGATGCAGAAATCAACCCTCAATGTGTCCAGGCTCACATTATGACAGTGTTAAATATGATCAAGAACATGAAAGGCTTACAAGCGTTAATATCTAAACTAAAACATTGTGGGAGTCCTAGATTCAAAACCCACAGAAGCAAATCTTATGGCTCTTCTTAATTTCCACACTCTACTGTACATCTACAGCTGTCAATGTATTTCATGACATCTAACAACTCTAACCTGGAACCTTGTCCCCATGTTTAGTATTACCACTTGAAATCGTACTAAGTAACTAAAGTGTGTGACAATGGTATCTTGTTTCCATGAGGCCAGTTAACGGATTACATTGTAGCTCATCACTATCATGTTCATCAACTGATAACATTTATTCCTTACCACAATTTTAATTTGATTATACAACCCTTATAACATTTGTACTCAAGTTGGTGCAAAGAACATGTTAAAGATCTAGAAATACCAGGATGTAGAAATGTATGCAAGACGGCAAGCCTGCAATGTCACACGATGTCAAATACACTCACAACGAACCTGTCTCACACTGATTGACTGAACAGTTCTTTCAGAAACGCCGGCAATGTGTAGTAAGTGCAAGAGTGACAATCACATTAATTTACAACGTACACAATGTGCGAATACTGCTTGTTGTCAGTATTCCAGCAGATGCTCATTGTAACAACTTTCTCATTAGTGAATAAACGTGCCTCTGTCGTTGCCACCCTCTCCTTATACAATCGGAAACCTTGAGATGATAGCTAAGAAGCACGAGAGGCATCTCAGTTGACACATTAGCTGGATGAATTGCCAAAGCGAGAGATCTCCCTCAGACGTAAACAACATCCATGCTGAACCGAGACCATCCCGACCTCGATTTGTCGGCATCGTGAAAATCACGCTAGAAATGCACAATGAGAAACTTACCTGTATAAATTGTATAGTTAAGGCACTTTTTCCCACTCCTCCGCCACCGACAACAACTAATTTATAACTCTGGCTGTATCCCCCAGAATCCGGATTGCGGGACATTGTGTACCCACCCAATGACACTGACCTTACAATCCTTTGCGGATGTTTTCATGAATAGATTGTATTTTCCTCGCAACTATTTTTAGTGTGTTCATGGCAGGCGCCCGTCTGTTGGTTACAAGCCAATGTGTACTTTTCGATTTAATCAAAAATATTCAGATCCCCTTTAAGCTGTTGTTCTACACGCATGTTTAGGATGCTGCATTTATTCAGAAAGGTCTAAATGAGACATAGAACTATCGGTTCCATTCGAACGACTTCTTATTATGAAATTACACTGTGTTGACTGACCCTGAAACGTGAGCACTTAATGGGTAACAATTTGAGCGTCTGACATCGGCTTATCCAAACACCCCACTGTACACGGTTAACACACACCAGACAATAGGCAATACACAAGGCTAAGTAAACGGTCATTAATTGCACAAAACCATCTTCTAATTTATTTCATTCAACCATATAAGCACTGATTTGCTCCATCCGCATATTTGCTAATGCTTTCAAATCGTGGAAATGTTTTCGGAAAACTATAAGTCAACCAGAAAAAAATAATAAAAAGTAGTCGTTCCTCTTTGAACGGAAAAATATGAAATACCGATCATTAATTAATAATACAAGGACGCAAAATCCTTATTCCGAATATACTTTTGTGGAAAGGAGTGACAGAATTACGGACGAATGTTTGACATCAGATATGATCAGAGGTTCATGTAACGAATAGTGTTGGCCTCCAAATGTAATACGTCATATCCCATAATGCAGTGGAGTGTAACTGGGAAAGGAATGTCCAGAATAACAAGTGTCCGCTATATACACACCACATGTGCCGGAAACTATTGAGATGATCATTTTTTTATCAGATACAACACATGTTATAAGATTTTATTAAGTTACTCAATATTTTAAAGAAAATAACCCCAAAAGTTGATAATTTCTTAAATATTTTGAAAGACATTTATACGGTTGCAAAATTCATATCCAGAAGAAACAATAATTTTGATACATTTTCAGACAATAGTTTCCTTTATTCTCAATATTTAATGTCTGACTTAATCTTTAATCGAAGTTGAATAACTTTACTGGATTATATGCTATCAGTTGATATGACATTTTTGTGGAACCCAATGAACTTTGATCATGCATATGTACATTTATTACTTTACTTTATATGCTTGTATTCAATTATGGGCACAAATAAAAAGAATTTTAAAAATAAGTTACTCAATATTTCTGAGGCTGTTGTTATTTGTTGTTTTATTAAGTGTTGTTGTTTTCTTTTTCACAGTTAGAGACAAGTGTATTTTTTACCTGTTAGATTTATACCTGACCTATACTATATTTATACAGATGTTGGCAAAACATATTTGGTGACCAAATATTCGATCTCTCGGTTATGATAACTGCATGGAATAGCTGATGAAAAGAATCAGTGGTTCAAGTAATGCAGTAGTGCATCCCGGGAAGCGTGTTTGCGTGCGTGCGTGCGTGCGTGCGTGAGTGAGTGAGCGAGTGCGTTCGTGTGAGTGAGTGTGCGTGCGTGCGCACGTAATTGTGTGTCGTGAAAGTGTGAGTGCGTGCGTGGGTACGTGCGCGTGCGAAAGTTGTAAATGATCGACGTTTATCCCACAAAACATTCGAAATCCCCAAATGTTTAGGGACATATTTCTGCCTGATTGGACTAAACTCGTCAGGATGCCTTGCGTTCACTTTATGAGGGACAATATATTTCAAGGCCCCCATTTTGAATACTATCAGTTCCAGCAAGTAATATTTCAGTTTCAAATTATTCGTTGTACAACGCCGCTTTTCCCTTATGTCATACTACAGTGGTGGATTGTTTGTTGTACAACGCCACATTTCCTGTATGCTATACTACAGTGGTGGATTGTTCATTGTACAACGCCGCTTTTCCCGTATGTCATAATACAGTGGTGTATTGTTTGTGGATTGTTTATTGTACAACGCCACATTTCCTGTATGCTATACTACAGTGGTGGATTGTTCATTGTACAACGCCGCTTTTCCCGTGTGTCATAATACAGTGGTGTATTGTTTGTGGATTGTTCATTGTACAACGCCACATTTCCCGTATGCCATACTACAGTGGTGGATTGTTTGTTGTACAACGCCACACTTCCCGTATGTCATAATAGTGTTGTATTGTTTGTGGATTGTTTATTGTACAACGCCACATTTCCCGTATGCCATACTACGGTGGTGGATTGTTTGTTGTACAACGCCGTATTTCCCCGTATGTCATACTACAGTGGTGGATTGTTTGTTGTACAACGCCACATTTTCCGTATGTCATACTACAGTGGTGGATTGTTCGTTGTACAACGCCGCTTTTCCCGTATGTCAAACTACAGTATAGTGGGTTGTTTATTGTACAACGCCGCTTTCCCCTATGCCATACTACAGTGGTTGATCGTTTGCTGCACAACGCCGCTTTCCCCTATGTCATACTACAGTGGTGGATCGTTTGCTGCACAACGCCGCTTTCCCCTATGCCATACTACAGTGGTGGATTGTTTGTTGTACAACGCCGCTTTTCCCGTACGTCATAATACAGTATAGTGGGTTGTTTGATGAGAGACAGTCCAGTGATTAATATCACGAGCAATGTCCTTGATGTATATAATGAGTGCCAGTCAACCAATGAAGAGTTGTGATCACCGACTCTGACCACCCGAGCCATTATGTCATTCCTAATAACCAACATGCGTTACTAGGGAGCGATTCTTCGACTGAGAAAAGATCCCACGTATCCAATACTCGCGAACGCCCCGTATTTTCACAGACTGAACAGCACTAATGACCTGTCGCACAAAATGTGTCAAAGACTTCCATACCATATGATCTTTGTACTGAAATGAAAGGGTTGAGGAGAAACATAGCCAAGATTAACATGGCACACTCTGGTATAGTTGAATAAGGTACACATTTGGAACATGACGTCATTGCATGAAAAAGCATTACGATTTTCACTTTTCTTGCACAGACTTAACTGTCAGTAATATTGCACGTATCTTGTCCGCGGAATTAAAGAACAATGTCTTGGAAGTCCAAATACTCACTTTCAGTATTTTGTGTAACCTGCCAGTACATTAACAACAGATTCAACACGCCTCTTCATTCCTTGGATCAATCTCCTGATTTGATTCTGAAGAATTCTGTTCCATCCCTCATATACAAAGAAGCAGTCAATTCATTGGGAGTCTGGACATGTTGGTCTCTCTGTCGAACACGACGGCCTAAAATGTCCCGCAGATGTTCAATGGGATTTGAGATCTGGACTCGTGGCTGGCCATGGAATGGTCTGTTGCAAGAACTGCATTCTGTTACGAGAACTGGGTGACAGGACGTGCTCTATGAGGCATGGCGTTGTCATCCATGAAGATGGGTCTTGTGGCTAGAGGATGGTTTTCAAAATGTGGGACAACAACCCTATCAAGGATCTCCTGTTCGTACCGAGGCCCATTGAGGTTACCACGAATGGTATAGAGGTCCATATTGCAACCCAAGGAAATACATCCCCATGCCATGATTGACCCTCCCGCAAAGGGAACCGTCTCCTGGATATTGTCTCCAGACACGTGTACGACCATCCATCATATGCAATAATAAAAGACTTTCATAGGAAAAGTGAACCCTTTTGCATGATGCAATGTCCCCGCGAACACATAGGCTACACCAGGCAAGTAGTGCTGCTTTGTGAGCTGGAAATAGTTTTTCTACGCTTGATGGGTCTTGTTGGCCTGTATCCTGCTGCCTTCAGCCGATTCCTGAAGGTCCTGCAAGAAATGGCTCTCCCTGGTAACCACTGCTGCCTTAACGGTGTGCTTCAGTCCCCTGAACGGCGCCTAACAAGTCTCAACAATACTCTATCTTCTCGTTTTGTTGTTTTACGGGTTCTGAAAGTCTTGGAAGATCTTTAATATCATTGGTTGCTCAGTGTTTGTTCTAGAGTCTTGAAATAATGGAGGACCGATTGCGCCCAACTTGATGTCCAGTTTGTCTGAGGGCCATCCCTGCAGTTCTCATGCCAATAATTTGCCAACTTGTAGCCTCTGACAATTTACGACGTGCCATGACAATCCAAGTTGAAATGAGAGTGTGACATGTTATCAGTAAAACCTTTATTTCAACAATGTTGGGGGTATCACATTTCATGTGCATTGTGTCTCGTTGCATTGATTATCTCCCCCAACATAAAAAACAAACAAACAAAAAACAATGCTTAGACAGCAAGATGCAAAATGTTGATAAATCTTTCAGAAAAATTATCTGTTTTCTTAATTCACAGAATTATAGGTCTATGAATTATGTTTTGCTTAATTAATTTCCACATGTATATATGATACATAATAATTAATGTGGAGAAACAACATGCAATGGAGAACCATGATAACGCTTATGTATCGAAATAGGTTATTTAAGGGTTACAGAGGCCCATGGCACTGGGCACCACTCTTTACATAAACCGACGTGCAAATTTTGGCATATTCCAGCAATATCACGGCGGGAGATACCAGATATGGGCTTCACATTTTGTACTCATGTGGGGAATCGAACTCGGGTCGTCAGCGTGACGACCGAACGCTTTAACCACTAGACTACCCCACCGCCCGGATCAGGACAGACAGACAGAAGCGCTCACATCTACATGCAATAAACCCCATTTCATCGTAGCATATACACTTCCATGACCCACACTATCCAAATATTTTGCTGGAATTGAATTGAATTGAAGTTTAAATGTTTCTGTCCACATCGATATTGATGGTTTCATATACTTCAGTCGTTGTGCTTCTGTCTTGTTTCTGCAAGTGTTCTCTTCAAACCGCTACAACATGTGGTGGATTCGAAGACGTGGTGTATTCGAAGTTCCGTGCATTGCATCCGATGCTGAGGGAGCATAATTATCGTCACATTGTCACACTGACGCAAGAATATAGCTCACTAATTAACACCTTCTTTGTTTGAGGTAACAATAGAATGTGATTCAGAAATACTGAGCACACATGTCACACGACCAATGGCATTTTACTAAATATTCGATATTACTGCTGTGATGCCCCCCGCCAAAGTACTGATGCGTGACTGTCTTTGTGCCCGGGAGTTCGGTGTGCTAAAATTAGCGATGACGAAATTGACCCCCCAGGTCTGTTACTCGGAACCCACAAACTGCAGTAATGAGAAAACTGGTACAAAATACATATAAAAGAGAAATGATTATTCAGATCACATTCCAAGTGTACATTTTGAAATTCAGCAAGTTGCAACAAAAAATAAATGATACCAAACATTGCCATTGGTCGTATTTTTAAACTGCCAATTCCGCTTGTACACTAAAACCTTTTTGCTATTTCTAAAATACTTATAACACGTCCCCAGTATATTTAAGTTGCATTATTAAAGTAATCTTCTATTAGACAATAGAATGTTGTCAAGAGGGTATGTACACAAATATTAGTTGTACATGTAATAGCATATGTTGGCTCTACGCACGGCCGTCAACAAACAAAATCATAAAATCTCGCCGGAAGAGAAAAAGACCCTTCTCGTTGTTTAAAATTATACTGGATATTACTGATATTATCTACAAAACATTATTCTCATTTATATCAACGATGCAAATAATACGAAAACATGATCAGTAGTACAGCTTTGTATTATTTTCATGACGTAGACCAATATGAACGAATCTGATTGGCTAAACTTCGCGCAGCGAATTTGAAGTTGCTGTGTGTGTTTCGGTAAGTTGAAAGTTTACTTTCCATTTATTATCATCTTTTTAGCAAATATTCGCAGTCTGATCGAATTAGAATTTTGCAAACCGACGGAAGGAACGTGTCTGCACGTAATCCTCACTCCTGATCGCTTTATCAAATCTGCGTTTACGTAAAATAGCCCAACATCTTATGAAGGCCGTGGCGGGGATGTGTATTTTTGCTGTGTCTCGGCGTGAGATGTAAACACAACATGCTACTGTTCTAAAAAATCAGGCGCGGTGCTAAAGACATAAAAGGTAAACATTATTTTTGATCTTGCAACACTGTGGTAAACTGACTGGTAATATCGATCTACACTCCCTACCTGTTTATTGTTACTATTATTCGTAGATCAGAGGGATACCCATAAACAATTTTTGACAGTTTATGTTTGAATAATGAAGGACTCAAATCTATTACCCCGAATCTCCGTTTGTATGAGATACTGTCCGAGATACAAATTGTCATATTACAACCCTGATGTCTGTTTGGGGTTTTACTTTTAGCAAATTCGTCAGATTTCTTGTGGGACAGGATATTCCTGTTCTACAAGTATACAAGCCAGTGTTCAGAGCATGATGATCCAGAGAAGGGTGAATTTGATGTGAGAAACTGTATATAATCACAGAAAGATTTACTAAATCTATTATTCATGTTCATCTTGTCAGCTGCAGAAATACTTCCGCCTGTATCCTCCCTTACCCCCTAAGTTGTCCCCAACCCTAATCCTTACCTAACCCTGATAAGTTAATGTCTGTATGCACAATGTCATTTTAAGACTTATTCTATGGCTTCTATTCAAATCATATTTCCTGAACAATGCTGAATGTATGTATATCTTTTTCCTCATCGTTAAAATTTAGTTGGGATACTGGCAGAAGTCTTACCTCAGCTGCTTTAGTTAGGTTTCTTACAGTGTTTGGTGGAGATATCAATGACAGCCACATCATGGAAATGCTGGAGATCATGTGTATGGGCAGTTTGCATTTAAATTAAAATATCTTGCATTTGATTTCAGCAAAAATTAGTTTATCCACTTTAGCAATTTTGCTGATAAGCTTCTTAGATCATCATTGAATATCTGTTATATGTGACCTTATCAGCTTGCATGACAGTTGTTTCCTTTCTGAGATAATGTAGACACATTGTCACTTGCACATGTTAGAAATTAATTTGGATTTTTGATGATTTCACACCCCAACATGCTCAGCATTAAACATTTCACATTGGGGTACTATCAATGAAGTAGTCGTTGTCAGCACAGGTACTACACATATGTACCTCAAGTGTGTATACCAAATTCAGAATACAAAACATACCCTTGGACTTATCCTTTCTGCATGGTACCCTTTTCTTGATCGGAAGTGTCATACTGTTGTATGACTGAGATGCATTTGATTGCATTATATAATAAATGAGCATACATATAGAGTATTTCACTTGCAATTAGGTTTTGAGTTGAGAATTATGGAATTGGACGTTTTGGGTGAAGGATATATATGTTTCTGTATTTTGACTGTGTGTATGGTACATTTCTGTAATACCTATGCCAAAAATCGATCCCTTCAGGGCTAATATGCTTATGACAAATATCCTTAGATGTTCACTCATCAGTTCAAACAATATGAATCGCAGGTTGCCCAGTCATCTAATTCACTGCTGTTTACTGTGCAGGGTAGCATGCCAGGAGTCTAGTATCATGGGTCTGAATAGTATATGTCATAATGTTTGTTGTAGGCCATTGGAACCGCCAAGATGGCCAGACCACCGCATGATGCACCCCACACACTGGGGCTGAATGTAGCCATGGATATGGCTGAAACTATTCGAAGAACTTTTGAAGATCAATTCACTTGGTTAGATGAAATATTAGCAGTGTGCAAACAGTCTTTTGCAAGGTACAGTCTATATTTACTTGCTTTAGAAATGGTAAATCAGATGCATTATTCCCATGACATTGCTTTCAGGTCAACCTTCTCATGATCATAGTCATACTTTTGATTGATCTTCTTGTTGCATACATGTGACACAGGCACTGTTGGGGGAATATGTTGTTGTTTTTTAAAACAGTCTGTTCATTATCTGTGTGCAGTATGTAGATTAGCTGTTAGCTGTGAATGGTTGATGGACTATGCATCAATTAATAGTGTATTACAACCATAAGGCTGACCAAAAAGATTGTTAATCGATTATATCGTTGGTGATAAGAATAAGTAATGATTATCAACAATATGGAGATTTATGAGTATGTTTTCTTGTTTACATTTATTAATTTGGATAATTGATGTACCTGATACACATCATGCACATGATAGGAAAAGACTTATTTAATACAGGAAATTTGTACAATTATTATGTAAAATATGTTAATTTCTTTTATACATTTTGCTTCAATTATGCTCAAAGTTACTTCTCTGATATGTATCAATATCTTGTTAATGATTATTGATGTCTATGATCCTTAGGGATAGCTTACGCTAACATATCATGGTAAAACTTGAGGGAATTCGGTTTGAATAGGTCTCCAGCAACTTCTGCTAGTCATAAGCTCACCAAATAGATTGGTTGTCATGCTTGTGTCTTGGTTGATACTGTGTCTTCATACCCCAGCAGGGTGGTGGGGTAGCCTAGTGGTTAAAGCGTTGAGTCGTCACGCCGAAAACCCGGGTTCAATGTGTGAAGCCAATTTCTGGTGTCCCCTGCCGTGATGTTGCTGGAATATTGCTAAAAGCGGCGTAAAACCAAACTCAGTCAGTCATACCCCAGCAACATGGGTCATTGCTTACAATATCAATCACTAGATTATCTGGTGCAGGAGTAATTATTTACAGGCTACCTTCATATGGCGAGAATATTGCTGAATATGATATTAAACTTAAACAAGCTACAAAACAAAACTATTAAATTTTAGGATAGAATGGAACATATAGCTGGTTTTATTGTTTGTAGGTTCTTAAACATGTTTAACACAAGGCAGATATTCTACTCCCTGATTTACCCTGAATATAATTATTGGTTTGTCAGTACCGTATCATGCTCATTGCTTTCATCAAGTGAGTGAGTGAGTATGGTTTTACGTCACTTTTAGCAATATTCCAGCAATATCACGGCGGGGACACCAAAAATGGGCTTCAAACATTGTACCCATGTGGGGAATCGAACCTGCATCTTTGGCATGATGAGCGAACGCTTTAATCACTAGGCTACCCAACCTCCCCTTTCACTAAGTGATTTTGACATACCTGTAGTACCGTACCATTGCTTTTGCTGTTAGGCCCTCATCAAGTTGACAGGCCTGGATATAACTGAAATACTGTTTAAAGTGACATGAAGCCAAGGAAGATCTTTAGTTGCCACACTCCACATGTACAGAGATGGTGTTCAGTTATCAGTGATGAAAATCTTGTCATTTATTTATGGACTTGCCACTGCTTATGTATTTTTTTTGCCTTTTCTTTAGCATGTGTGATGCAAGAAGTACACGTATTGTAATATGAGTAAGAACATGGATAAACTAATCATTAATCAATGGATATTGTATTTTGTGGTCTAACGTCATTATTATCATGACCAGGTCTAATGGACAACATTTAATGACAATTGTCTTTTTGCTCAGCTTTCACACCAGTGGTGATTTAGACAACTAACTCGTGACGGGGAATGACACGGCTTGAGAATTACATAATTAATATAACTTTGGAAAGACAATCTGTCATTTCCTGTCACAAGTTGGTTAATGTTTTTATTACCCATATCAGATTTTGATCTGTAAATGCTAAAACGAAAACAGCATTCTCTAAGGAAACATGCTATGTGGCGAATCCCCATATCCCTACACGTTGACTGGCTGTTTCATTTTCCGAAACAGCCAAACAACATTCACCAAAAGGTGTAACCTCCCTAGGGACTTACAGGAAAAATACTACCCAGTGTCCTTCCCATACAGGTAATAAAAAAAATATATCCATTCATTTACTGCAGACCTGAAGTTGAACTTTTGCCCAAAACACCATCAGCAAAGAGACGAAGAAAACCCCGCAAAAAGATTGTTGAAGAAGATGAAGATGAGGAAGAGGAGTATACCACAAGGAGAACGATGTACGTTGGCATAGGTTCAACTTTCAGCATTGATCAATGGCTTTAACAAAATGTTTAAAGGCTTGGGTTGCTTAAATAGGAATATATAAATATTCAATTTTGTAAAAAATATTTGTCAGAATGTTTGTTATGTTTATGAACATGAATAGCATAGTTTATCATGTGTTTTATGTTTATGTACATAACCATTTTTGTCATATATATTTGGGAAAAAAGTTTCTTAGTGTGATGGTGAGACTGAGCCATTGATGTCAGAAATATGAAATAGATTAATTGAAATGTCATTATTACTGGAAGTGAATTTGTTTGAAAATGGAATTTTGTTCAGATCTTGAGTGCTACTGACGATTTCAAAACATTTGTAAAAAGAATCAGTAACAGATTTCAAAATATTTCAGCAAAGCCCGAGATCAAGATGATATGGATGACTTTGAAGAAACATCTGCAAAAGCCACTCGTAAAGGCCGATCTACCAGAGCAACTAGAGCCAAGAAAGCCCCATCTGAGGTCAATACGGGGTCACAGAGGTCAACCAGGAGCACAAGGTCAAGGAAGAAAGATGTCAGTATGGCAGAATCCCCTGTATACAGCATGGTGGCGGCCATGAAAGAGAGGAATGGAGGACGACTGCTTGGAGACCTACGGCAACTTGATGAATCAGACATTGATAAAACACCTGTTGCTCGCCAGGTAGCAAGCATCCGAAGTCCATCTCCAAGCACACCGAAGATCCAATCTTCAAGCACCGTCAAAAGCAAGATCAGTCGCAAATTCAGTGTGAAGGACAAAGCAAGTGCATATGAAGAAATGTTAGCAAAGCGAACAAGCCAAAGCCCTGCCAGTCCACGGTCGCCATCAAGCCCACTGAAATGCAGCAGAACGCCAGGCACCCCTCCCACCCCGAATACTGTTACCCAGAAAGCTAGAACTACTGCACTAAGACTTGAGACTGACAGTCGGTCAGAGAGCCGGAGGTCGTCTAGACAGTCACTGAAAGTGTTGGCATCGAAGGCTCGACTGTCCAGCGCCAGGGGAAGGCCCAGCTTGGTTGGAGCTAAAGTTGTGTCAGTGGACAAGGAGGAAGAGTCGTTACAGAGAGCTGCTGAAACAGAGGAAGTGGAGGTAAGGGCATTTTTAAGATATAATTCTAAGATTAACATAGAGATTTTTTCTGGGTTACATCTTTTTACTCTCTCGAGTACAACGTTTCAGGGCTTGTTCTGGCCCCATCATCAGGTAAACCAATGTTTACCTGATGATGGGGCCATCAAATATCATCTTCTAAAATGCCAATCAAGCATCTAATTCTAAGATTGCACGGTATTATCGGTATATCTCAATCCGGCTTTCATATTGCAATGTATTTTTCTCAAAACCGATATACTGTGTAATAAAAAGCTATGTTTTGTGATTATCTCTATGGTGTAAGATCAATTCTTCAGACTTTCATTCACACTGAAGTTTTCCATTGTAATAAATTGACAAAATAGCATACTTTACATACAATAAAGTTTATATAAGAATGTACAATCCCTCAAAGTCAAATCTAACGTCGTGATTTCTGTTATCACAGCTATGCCATTTATTTTTAGGTGAGGTGAGGTGAAATTGGGTTTAACATCGTGCTTGAGAATATTTCGCTCATATGACGTACCGCTCATATGAGCGCCAGTGCAGGGACCAACGTGCATGCATGTGTATATGTATGTGTATGTGCGGCTGCTGTAGAAAATAGGCTCTGCATGTTCAACCAGTGTCACTCACTCTCAAACACTGAAGCTCCATTATAATCCCAATATATCGGATTCTTAGATGCCTAGCGGTTAGAACAATCGGGGAAAAAAATACATTATCAGACAATAAAGGTATAGTTTTTTGATGACGTAACAATTGAATGACGTTATCCCGTCACTACGCCATTCTAGTGTGCCCCCTCGTAATCGAACCATTTTACATTACGTCACAATGTAAGCGACGTCACGATACATGTCAGTTGTCATCGCCTCCTACAGTAAACTACTCCGTTGCATCCCGTTTCTTGGTTTTCAGTTGCTTCACGCAGCTAACATCACTGGTGGAAACATTACGTTTATGTTTTATGATGGTTAAAATGTGTCAATTCGACTCACAAGTTTTCAGCGACACGGTAACGTTCGCAATGTTACATTCCCACAATGCAATCGTGGACTACTCAGCTTCATCTGGATGTACTGATCTAAACTTACGTTGGTAGCAGAAATGCAACGTTCATATTGCCCCATATGGTTTACGTTAGTGACAGATGCAGGGATAAATCTACCCCTTCGTCCCGCGTCTCTGACGCAACAAATTCTGACAGGACTCATATTTTTTTTACATGTGCGTCCTCTTGGACGCAAGCATTTGATGAAACACTCATGTTTATTTTTGTGGAGAGGCAATATCAAAGTATACATGGCTAAATCTTAGATTAACTTCCATTCTCAAATGATTGACGTGAGCTAATAAGTACACATTATTTTTAAAACGATCGCAGCTTTCATTCGTCATGATATTAAGTTCATTTCCTCTTTTCCAAAAATAGACGTCTAGGTCACAGCAAGGGAGGTAAGCGGTATGCAAATGAGATCCCAAGATTCATTGCTCGAGCATGTGCAGAACTACTAGCCTAGTTTTTACACTCTATAAATAGACACAAACACGCTAAGGGAGGTAAGCGATATGCAAATGATGTTTTTCAAGATAAACTGATTGGTCAATGAACATTGTGACTCTGAATCCAGTGTGAAGACAAAATCTGAGCTCTCAAGCAAGCGTCCTCGTACTTTAACTATAATAGTTCAGGGCAAAAGTGTGTTTTATTACACTATACATGGTGGTAGAGCGAACTGTATTTCTTAAATTTATTTTCCAATACACAGCCCTTTATATTTCTCTCAGCTGGGATGAAGTAGTGCATCGATACAAAACACATTTAGGCAATATATCAGGATATTTATATCGCAAGGGTCCACGATACATCCATGTATCGCCACAAGAGACGATATATCCCGATACAACTTCAATACTAGTTAAAGTTGTAAGGAGTATTGCATTAGGAATAGGAAGGGAGTCTCTTTGAAATTCTTCTGAATTTTAAAACAAATTGAACCTTTTAGAATTTGTTTGTGTCTGTTATCTTTGTTACATGGACAAAGGAGTTGGTGTATAAGTGAAAGAGTGTGAACATGTTTCAAACTCTGTGAACTGTAGAATACTTGTCTTTAGTAATTGAAATATGTTTTAGTTGTTTGACAAATAACACCATTTATTAACATACATAATTTAATCGACGCCTTAGCTTTGTTAAGAAAGAGAACAAAGAGAAGATAAAATTTAGAAAGCATACTTAAGAGTTTTTCAGTGATTCTGAATTCTGATATAAATTACATTCAATTGTTTGTGAAGTCATTTTATCTATCATATATGTTCTGCTATTAGAAATTGTAAAGTATCGGGATACGTATCGTATCGCCACCATTGTATCGTGAGGATAATCGTCTCGCAGGTTCCTTGCCAATACTTTCATGATATATCGGCTCGCCTAAGTAAACTGGTATCGGGATATATCGTCTCGCCACTTAGACCACGATACACAGCTCTACTGGGATGTGAACATCAGATTCAGAAATTCATAACACTGAAACAAATTGAGTCCTCAAATCGCAAAACCTGTAATGTAACATCATTTTCAGTGGATTTTGGCGTCTGTTTGTTGGCTATGATCAGCTGAGCTTACAACTCCAAGACTTCACAATGCCGACGCGTGTGTCCAGTACACACATCTGGCTAGAATGTTCACAGAAAGATTTTTATTTTATCCCAATCAGCGTGCAATAATATAATACCATATATTCTTGACAAGAAATATAAAGTTCATGTTATCTTACAGAACAATACATTACATTATTCCAATACTTTACCGGGCTGTGGGGTAGCCTAGTGGTTAAAGCGTTCACTTGTCACGCCAAAGACCCGGGTTAGATTCCCCAGATGGGTACAATGTGTGGAGCCCATTTCATGTGTCCCCATCTGTGATATTGCTGGAATATTGCTAAAAGCAATGTTAAAACCATACTTACTCACTCCAATACTTTACAGGACCCTCATATTTACTCTAAGGAGCACTGAAATTAGTAACTGGGGTTCAACTGGGCCCTGAGTTTTAAGGTTAGGTGAATTGTGATGTCGATTACCAATGATATGTTTGATTACAAGGGGGCAGAATTGAATGACGTCAATTCAATGTGATGTAATGCAAAAAGTGTACTTTATCATCGTAAAAAGTGTACTTTATGTCCTGATAAATTACTGTTGGTGCCTTTGATCTGTTAGCGAAGCATTTTGGAATGCCCAGTTGTGGACATTTAGGACAAAATAATTGTGTTTTCCCTTCCATGGCTGCTGCTAGGCTCCGTTTGAATCCTAGTAGTATTGGATGTTTGGACCAGTGTGTCAAAACTGGAAAGTGGTATGTCAACATTTTTCAAATCATTTTCAGTGAGTTACCTGTATGCAAATTACTATGTTCTGTCCATGAACATAAGCAGTATTGAGAGTTTAACACAGCTCCCTATTGTTCCAGATGGAAACAGTTGATGATACAGACGAACAACCCAAGAAGAGTGCTAGAACAAGATTACGCCTGAAGAAAAACACAGAAAATGTAAGAAAATAGTTGCCAGGGATTCTGATTTAGATTTCAAGTTGTCTTGATAGGTAGCAGGTGTTGTAATTTCCAATTTGACCTTATTAACCTTATGGGTTTAAACATTTGATGATAAATTGTGCCATGTGTTTGACTGTTTGATTTTGGTCTTTCATTCTCTGCTGCATGACTTTATATTTGCGACAGTCTGACCTATATGTTTAGTTGATGCCTACAGAAGATTCTGACATCCTTCGATACATATTTCATATGACTTCTCTTAATTAGGACTCAAGTGATGCAGGTAAAGAAGTGGAAGCTGTAGCAGTCCCACCATCCTCTTCCTCATCTTCCTCTGCAGACTCTGATACTGAAAACCGACCAGTCAAGAAGACTTGTCGTGAAACTGATAGAGTTGTGGAAACAGAGCCTCGACTGTCATATGACAAACTGTACAAAGAGGACAAAGACCACCCAGATGTTACTTCCGACTCCGACATTGATGGTGGCAAGAAGAGAACAAAAGCAAGAAAGACGAAGAAGTCTCAGGTAGAAAGTTCAGAGCAGGAAACAAGTGCTGCCGGTAAGGAGTCAGAATCTGAAACTGATGCTCCTGTCAGGCAGAGCACACGGACTAAGACACGAAAGAATGCTGAAGCTAAGGAAAAGTTGCGTCCTGCCTGTAGTGAGTCGGAGTCGGAGTGTGACAGGCCGGTACGGCAGAGCACAAGAACCAAAACCAGAAAAACAAAGACAGCAGTTGTAGCATCGGAAAGTGAATATTCTGGATCTGTGTCATCCGACAAGGAGCATGTGGAGTCCGAGGTGTCCCAGTCTGAGGAGAGACAGGAGGATGTGATGGACGTCACTGAGGAAGTTCACATGACGGAGGAGGACCATGGTGACCACGACCAGGACTCGGGCATCATGAGTGCTCAGTCCAGTGAGATCAATATCAATTTGTCGGTCAAACCTGTGGAGGCTGACATAATTGAGGAAGAAGAGGAGGAAAAGCCGTCCAAAAGGTCTACCCGTACAAAGACACGGAAAGCACAGAAGAGTGACAGTAGTGACTGTGAAGAAGTATTTGTTGCCCCCGAGTCTCCAGCTCCTAGAACACGGTACAGTACATATAGATTACTACATGAGTAGTATGTTTACAATGGGGTGTGCTTGTGTGAGTGCAAAAGGTTTTAGACCACTTTACCAACATTCCAGCATGTCTGACAGGTACACTCTTAACTTGAATTGGCTATTTTGTCTATTCTTATGAATGCGTTGGTGCATTCATCATCCATTCATGGGGCACAGATGTCTGTTGTGTTACGTATTACTGTACCACTGTTAATATGGTGGTGCTTGGTCCTGTGCTTAGAGCTCAGGTCACAAATCAGTTGAAGTTAAGCAACGTTGGGCGCAGATAGTCCTTGTATGGGCAACCGTGTGTGACAGCTTGACTCCTGAGAGTTTCTAGGACTTCAGAAACAGTTCTAATGTTCATGATCAAGCTCTATCTTGAGTAGAAATTTGTAATACAAATGTACGCGGATGAGTTATAAAACCTTTGCTAATGTTTTTTTTGTACCTGATTTTACATTTAAAGAACTAAAACACGAAAGCGTCAGGCTGAGGAAGAAGGAATTCGGGAAGCTCCCAAACCAAAGAGATCCTGCACCAACTCCATCTCTTCACCTGATCAGGTAGGCATTGATGATACATCCTCTATTTGGTCATCTTGTCAATAGCATGCTGAAGCTGAACATGATGAAGTGAGCTTAATTCTGAGTCATATGTTAGATAAAGAGAGGAGCTCAATTGAATTCATTCAGCTTCTGGTTTTCTGTCTTATGTTTATGACCCGTCTATGTTTAAACAATTAATGAAATATTGAATATATACATATGTTCCATTTTACAGCCGAACAAAAATGCTGGTACAGATTCGGACAGGTAAGATGCTTCCCTTGAGTTTGTCCTTTGTGAGAATTCTCCTTCCCTTCATAGACTATCAGAGACAAATGACATTAAATTTTGTTTTGATTGATTATAAGCTGCTTATTACTAGTTGTTGTGGTCCAGACTTAAATGTTTAAAGGCTTTTATAACTAACTAAGAGTGAGACATGATGAATAAACGTGTTCATGGTGCATGTATGTTTTATGCTAAACACGCTGTTTTGATGTGTCTCCAGTATGGCCAGTAGTGAGGACGACATCACTGACCGCTCTCCATCACCCACATGCCCCCCAGACAAGGTGAGTTTTAAAGGCAGCATTGTCGTACCAGGGATATCCTTGCTAAACTGTGGCATGGCATCTCCGTGAGCTAGCACTGTAAATGCATTTTTTGTCGTAAGAGGCGACTAACGGGATCAGGTGGTCAGACTCACTGACTTGGTTGACACATGTCACCGTATCCCAAATGTGTAGATTTATGCTCATGTTGTTGATCACTGGATTGTCTGGTCCAGACTCGATTATTTACAGACCGCCGCCATAAAGCTGGAATATTGCTGAGAGCCTCATTAAACAACAACCTAACCTAATCTGGTCACAAGACAAACTAAAGTTTCATGGTTATTTACAAAGTAAAATATTATTTATCTTGTCATTGATTCACTACAAACATTACACAAACACAGTCTAATAAAAGATTTTTGTGATTTGAAAGTTGAAAGAGGAAAAGCGCTTATTTTTGCTGTAATTATTCAAATCATATCTGTTGTTAGATTCATTTTAATGTTTCTTATACCACTTCTGTGCCCTGATTCTATATGATGTGTTCATGCTTTGTCCACTGTTTTCAGGTTATCCGTCCCCATACTTCGTCTTTCCTGAACAGTTTACGTAAACCCTCATCAGTAGCCATTGGCACTCCATCAAATCTCATGACTGGCATGACTTCCTTCGAAAAGAAAACACAGATTACTCCAAACAAGGCCTCACAGCAGGTAAATATCAGCACATCCTGGCAGTGACTTGTTTGTCTTCACCTTCCTCTTAATCATTCAGTGAATACATATGCTAACCTGTTTAACTCTGTAATGGTTGTAAGGTTACTTTCTGCCTTGTAAAGTTCCCACATGCAGTGTATAAAATATAGTCCATCCCACTGGCCTGAACGGTCTATCAAAGTAAGGCCATCCTTTGTAAAAACTTGTTAGATCACGTAAAATGACATATATCCAGCAATTAAACTTTTAATGGTTTTAGTTTTTGACTGTTTGTTCAGGACTGGTCACTTTTTTGGACAGATTTCAAAACTATTTTATACACTGCTACTTGCTAGATCACTTCTGGTATGTTCTCATTCGAATCAATCTTGTCTGACCTCCCAGTCCCACTGAATCAGGCCTTTATACATGTTTGTATATGGAGATGAATCAATTGTCTTGCATTGTACTAATCGGTTCCAACGTCACTGTATATTTGTGTAGCTTGTCTGTATGCAAGGAGCTGTATCTAGTGTTTGTTACGCGAGGAGGAGGTTTTGATCCAGTTTATGAAACGACCGAAGATATACTTTAGATATAGTTTTATTATTTGGTATTTACTGTTGAAATCAACTGAGATGCGACTGGCAGCCGATACTTGCCTTGGACGTACAATGCACGTGATATCCGTATCCTGTACGTGCCTGCACACACTACCCGTCTTGGGAGGAACACATGTTTCATACTGACAAACTATCACATTTTTCACAACGATCCTTCGTAGCCTAGTGGATAAGTCTGCTAAACTAGTAAGCGAAAGGTTGCAGGTTCGAAACCAGGCATCGGCACAATATATTGGAAGTTATCAATAATGTGATATTTCACGATCGTATTCAGTAAAAGCAAGACAAAGTTATATCAATCTTCAAAACATGTACAAGTAAAATAATTCAAAGTCAAGGGCTATTCCTCAGAAAATCCCCGTGCAATTGTGATTATGAAGAAAATCACCAGGACCCAGGCAATTCTGTAGAAAATCCCTGCGATTTCTTGGAGAATCCCTGCGAAACTGCCTGTAGAGGTTTACTCTGTAAAAGGAGAACCTGGTGAGACAATAGAGTGACGTCACTGGGTGTTTATAATGTGGATTCTAACACAGCTTTATGTTTGTGACAGGCTCTGCAGGAGATGAGGAAGAAGGAGCTTGAGGAGAAGCAGAAGAAGGATCGAGAAAGGATACAGAAGCGAGAGGAGAACCTCAAGATTAGGATGGAGGAGCAAAGAAGGTGGGCTGTTATATACTTCAGTACACATCATTTCAGTAACCCATGCTCATAAGAGGTGACTAACAGGATTGGGTGGTCAGGCTCACTGGCTTGGTTGACACTTTATCATATCATGTAGGGGCTTGCTGGGCGCTGGCTAAGGCGTCAGGCTAGTGATCCAGTGAGCTTGAGGTGTCTGGATCGAGCCCGCCTGTGACCGGGTGTAAAATCCTTGGAGTCAACTTTGTGTACAGACTCTTTCAGTGTTGTCACAAACCCCTAGTGTACAGTATACAACCCTGTGCACTTAAAAAGAACCCACGAAGCCGTTGGTATATGACCAGATGGTGGCCACTTTAATATGTGCAAAAGCCTAGTTGCAGGTACAGCAAGGTGCAGTAAACTTGGACAAAATACTGTGACTATGTGTCCCAGTCCACCCAGCTGTGAATGGGTACCTCATATGGATGGGAAAGCCGCAATAACTCGGTGTGCTTAGAGGCTGCAAGTGTTGTTTGCTCCCCAGGGAGTTGAGATTGATAATAAGATGTGCCTTTGAGATTGACATCCAATGATCGAGGTAGAAAATACCAGCACCTTTAGCATGTTCTAGTTGCGTGGATATGTGCACTATATATATATATATATATATATCCTATAATAATATCCCAATTGCTCATGCTGATGAGGGGCGGTGGGGTAGCCTAGTGGTTAAAGCGTTGGCTCGTCACGCCGAAGACCCGGGTTCGATTCCCCACATGGGCACAATGTGTTAAGCCCATTTCTGGTGTCCCCCGCCGTGATATTGCTGGAATATTGCTAAAAGCGGCGTAAAACTAAAACTCAGTCAGTCAGTCATGCTGATGATCACTGGATTGCCTGTCCAGACTCCATTATTTACAGACTCAGCCACCATATAGCTGGAATATTTGCTGAGTGTGGCATTAAACAACAATAAACAAAAAAAACTATCTCACCAATAGGCAGGAAGTGGGGGATCACAGGAGGAAGTGCTGTGTTTGTATAGCATGACATTCCGTGTTGCAGGAAGCGTGAGGAACGGATGAGGAAGGTGCTGGAATACCGGGAACAGCGAGAGAAGCAGGAACGGCAGATCAAGGACACGCTGGCCAAGAAGATGGAGGAGAAGATGCAGGTGTCAGATAAACTGAAAGAAGAGAAACTGAAGGAGGAGAAGGAACTGAAGGCAAAGATCAGGTGTGTGGCTGGAGCTTGACTCACTGACACTGGTACAGACACTGGTACTCACTGGACATCTTAACAGTAGGAGAGCTTCGAAAATCTAGGTCCAGACCCTTATTTACTATGTTCAAGTATCAAGTACTATCTTTCTAATCTGGAATCCATTTTACAAAGCTGTTGTGGCACTGTGACTATTGTAACTCCTATGCTTTAATGTAGACCAAAGAGAGTCATTGCACAAAGATCGTTTTGTGAAACAGGACCCAGAACCTCCAGAAGTCTGGACCAAATTAGGTGACAATGGACCAATATATTATTTAATTGAAGAGCTCCAATTCATATTGATTTTTCATTCCCCTTACTTCTTAAGCATCCTGTAAACAGTGTAAATGTTTCAATTATCATTTAAGTCACTAATGTGACATCATATCAATACAGGGTCACAGTGTTCTATATATTTTACATTGTGATGCACATAAGTGAAATAGCCTCTAAACTGAGGTCTTACGGACAGAATTCTTGTGAATCAATAAGTGCACAACAAGAATGGAAAAATAATTTAACATATTCTTGTATTAAAATGAATACTGCTGATGCCTTACAGCATAAAGCTAAAGAACACTATTTCTTTGAAAAGTTAAGTCCATTTTTTATAGGTTAAAAAAGTGTACCATTTTTACCATGCAAATGTTGCCAATGTTACTTCAAGCCACCAAAGGGGATTTCTTTATATAATAATAGTAATAGAGGACAATTTGGACATTGAAGTCGAATGGTACTGTTTATCCTGTGATCTGTGTTCTGTACGTATGTTTTGTTTCAATGAAGGATGAAGAAGCAGCAGGAAGCTGAGGAGAGGCGGAAACAGGATGAAGAAGAAAAGCTACGCAAGAAGCAGGAACTGGTAAGAAACACAGCTCTTGTATCTGAAGTTGCTGTTCTGTTGCTATTAAGGGGCGGTGGGGTAGCCTAATGGTTAAGGTGTCTGCTCGTCATACTGAAAACCCGGGTTCGATTCCCCACATGGGTACAATGTGTGAAGCCCATTTCTGGTGTTCCCCGCTGTGATATTGCTTGAATATTGCTAAAAGCGGAGTAAAACTATACTCACTCACTGTTATGTATTATGTATCTTTGTTGCATTCTTCTAAGTTGGTATTAACCCTTCATCAAATACTTGAACACTTGTACTTGCATCCATCAAATTAAAGGGCAAGTGTACACGAAAAATCACGTTTATTCCTATGTGAAACAAAATGACATAATTTAATTATTTAATATCAATGTTTGAAATTATACACTCATTTTTCTCAATGAAAGTATAACCCTCAAAATAAGTGCTGAAATGTCATGCCACCATGCGGTCCTTGTTTGCCGAGCTAAACAGGCCAGAGTTACCTCCCTTTGATTATGACGTAATTATTGCCACTTGATTTTAGACTGGTCTCCTGTCTAGTCCCAAATCAAAAGATAATAATACTAAAATTAATCACGTGAGAAAAGATTGTGAAAATACGAAAGAAGCATAAAAACTGAAAATGTAACCAGCAGTAAAGATTGATCGTGTGTATTTTCATTCATAACCTCACGTCAGTGAAAATATCAAATATGTGTAAAAATGTTGACGTACGTATGACATCACTATTGGGAAGCGATATTCTCAAAATGGCGTGTGCACTGACACGATTCCGCCGGATTTATCGACGGGAAATTTCCTTGTTTCAAGCAACGTATATGCATAAATGTGACATGTAAGTAGTCCAAAACATTCTGACAATCTGCTGGTTCTTATTTTCTTTTTGTTTTTATTGTGACCAAGGGAAATAGTCAAAAATGAGGAGAACTTCCATTGTCAGTGTGCATGACTTTTTCATCAGTCATAGTGTCACGCTTTCAGAAACTATAATATGTTGTGATGAATCTCGGAAATCATTGGAATACACCTGTTTTATTTAACTATCGCTTTGCTACAATACCTTGCCCATGCATGGTCTAAAACTAAAGAGCAAGTGTATGCAACAAAAGTAGGCGAACCGATACACAGAGTGAAATGTAAATTCAACTTTGTTTACATTTCAAACAAGTGGTCCTTCCCCAGTGCGGCATCTGATATATTTCGTTAGATTTCACCGAAGCACTTGGTATTGGTGACAAAGACCTTTTGTAATTCTATTTTGAACTGTATGAGGAATTCAGGGATTCGTGTAAGAGTACGTGTGACATGATTTTATAAACTCTCTGCAGTATGGCTGCAAATTAACTTTGACATTAACTGTGTGTATTTCGTAATGTGTCAAAACTGGCCAGATTTACGGTGCATGTAATTTTCAGTATATTTGCCTTACAATGAGCGGATGATGTCATAGAAAACCTAATTTCAAACAGAATTAAAAACTGCCAATTGCATTTTTCTTTGTGATATATTTGGATATGGTATCAATAGGTGGGAAGAGTGGAAGAGGTGGGACATATATTTACGATTTATGTAGGAATTAAGTAACAAACATAGAATGCCGACACATTCACTGATGCCAAGCTAGATGTAGTGATTAAACGTTTTAGTTTTTGTGAAACATGATACTGTTGAAAGACAACCGACTCAGGTTGAATGTTGTACAATTTGGTTACATGGTAACACTGTTTGTACAATGTATTCGTTTTTTCAAACTGTAACGTGATCACAGTGTGGAACTGACCAAATAGCCAGCTGACGGCTGGATTAAAACAGTAGCCTGCGCATCGAAACACTAGAACCACACCTATACCTGCACCACGTGAAATGGGTCTAACAATGTCATTCGTTTATCGGTCTGGCACCATTGACATCATTTCCAAGGGACATAAGCCATGGTGTGTTTATTGTGGACATAGAACTCTCGGTTAATGTGGAAAATTTGAATCGATATAATGCAAAACATAAATTAGTTACTTCTGATATCTGTACTGTTTGGGCTATAAAACAACTTGACAAACACTTTTTATGATGAAAAAGTGCAAGACAAAAAGGTTAATTTTCATGTACACTTCCCCTTTAATCAACATCCTTGTAAATTTCTCTATGGTGGGAGGAGAATTCTGAAAAGCACTATTATATTTATTTTGCCCGATACAGTGTGAATATTCACTGGAATACAAGGTTTAACTGCCAGATTATTGGCTGCAAACTAGGTTAAACTATAAAACAAGTATATATAGTATTTGAAATGAAGCAGTCGGGTCAAATACTATTATACCTATAGGAGAATTACTCCAAACTTGTGTTTAAATTGATTTAACGGCTTCTGACTGAGATTAGTGGTTGTCCGATTAATAGAAATAATTGAAGATTGGTTGCCGTTACTAAGCGACCAGGCAATTGATCATGTTTTCTCATAATCAAACACAAACAATTTTGGAACACTTGTTTGCATAAACAACATTTTTTTCTATATTTTTTTGTTCATTAACAAACATAAGCAGGAGAATTTGATAAATGGCGCCAGCCAATTATTTTCAATGAATGATTGGTTGTAATGAACCAGTCATCAATTGTGAGATTTGAACCTATTCCCAACACTATCTGAGATGTAGTGGATAGAGTGTCTGACACAAGAATGGTTGGATGATGGTTCCATGCCCTGGTCAGTGTCCTACCAAACAATATATAAACATGGTACTTGGATAGTAAAGTACTGGTCAGCTCAGAGTTGGTTTCCTGTGTCTGAGTATGCTGTCCATGTTGAATTACAATGTGGTATCTAAGGAGGCTAGTGCTATAAATCCAGTGTGTGTTAGGACAAGTGAAAACAGGACCACACACAAATGTTTTACAACTATTTATGAGTGAAATAATCTTGAAAAGACTTTCCTCTTTAATTCACTACCAACATAAAAACCAAATGTCTTAACCTACCAATAACATTATCCATATTGTTCAAAGGAGGAAGAAAATAGGAGGTACCAAGAGTTAATGCAGAGGAAGAGGGAATATGAGGAACAGGAGCGTCAGAAGAAGATCGCTGATGAGAGGAAAAGGCATGAAGAGAGAATGGCCGAAGTGGAGCGGGAGAGGGAGCTGGAGAAACAAAGGATAAGGCAGATGGAGGAAGAGCGAGAGAGAGAAAGAATAAAAGCCAAGGAGGAGAGGTAAAATACTGATGTCCACAAACCAAGCTCAGTCTTACAAATCAAAATGATTCTAAAGTCAATGAAACTGCTTCATGCATAAATTAATGCAATTCAGGGAAGATGAAGTCACCATGTGGATGGGACTTGATTGTGAGAAACAATTAAGTGGATTGTGTTGTCCGGCTCGGTGACTTGTTGATTGGGTGCCATTGTACCCTTATTGATTGGATCATACTGTCAAACCATGGAGTTTCTAGTCCAAGGATTGTTTAGTCGAAGCTTACAGTCAGCTGTTATGTGGCTGGCCTCTGTTCTGCAAAGTGATGTTAGCACTACAGTGATCATGAGCCTATGTTACATTCTAAGATGCTTCAGTGAAAGATCAATGGCGCCGACAGTACTTTATCAGACGATAATGTGCACTTTTTGCATTACGTCACAATGTATTCGCGTCACTGCGCCATTCTAGTATGCCCCCTTGTAATCGAACACTTTTGCATTACGTCACAATGTAACCGACGTCGTGATGTATATCAGTTATCATCGCCTCATACAGCCTCCTACAGTAAACTACTCCGTTGCATCCCTTTTCAAGGTTTGCAGTTGCTTCACTCAGCTAATATCACTAGTGAAAACATTACGTTTATGTTGACCTTTAACGTTTACCTAAATTGTAACGTTAAAGAACTTGGACGCAAGCATCCTCGTGCTTTAACTATAATAGTTCAGGGCGAAAGTGTGCTTTATTACACTATATATGGTAGCAGAGCGAACTGTATTTCTTAAATATGTGAGTTAAGTCACTTCACTGTTAAGATCACTTCGTGGAATTGGGTTCTAAAATATTGCTGAATAAGTTTGACAATGTTTAATTTCGATTTTAGACAATTGTCCCACATTTTGGCAGAACTTAAATGTGTTTGAAAGAAAACTATTATCACGTCGCTTTTTCTTTTTAAATATTAGTGGATTTTCTTAATCTCAGACCTCCCACACTTCTCAGATTACTATGCTTTGTTTAAACTTTTTCCAATATTGACTATTGTGTGCAATTGATAGTGAGTTAAAATTTGAAGTGACATTGGCAGTATTTCAGTTATATTGTGAGTGTGCAGTTGATAGAATTGTTCAGTAATATCACCATGATTTGGGGTTAGAGTTGGTCCACAGAAACCTGGGCCAATTGCAAACAGTAATTACATGGATCGCATAGTCATACTTGTTGACTTGGTTTGACTGTATGCAGTCATACCCTGATGACGTCTTGGTTATTATTATATACCCATGTAAACTTAGGATAGCAATACAGAATGGCAATACGGATGACATGGTCAAATTCCGTATTGCACCCGTGATTCAGTATTGAAGCCCTGCCGTTTCTACATTGCTACGCTATGATTTGTTTTATTAAGTAACAGATTAATGCAAGATAAGAGGGTATATAATAAATATAGAACGTCATACTAGTGCATTTGGATGTTTAGTATTGAACTCGAAGATGTCATGGGAGCAGAGAAACAACTCGTTCTTATAACTTGTTCTTTCTCTGCTCCCATGACATCTTCTCGTTCAATACAAAACATCGAAATGCACTTGTATGACGTTCTATATATATATAATCAATCACTGGATTGTCTAGTCTCCCCTTGATTATTCACAGACTGCTTACAAAAAGCTGGAATATGGAGTTTGGCATTAACCATCATACAAACATTTGTAACATGTCCTGCATAACATGAGAATTGATTGATTGAAGGGAGAAGGCAGCAGCGCGAGAGAAAGCAGAAAGAGAGAAACACGAGATAGAGAAAAAGAAGGAGAGAGAAATAGCCTTGAAGAGAGAAATAGATAAACTGAGAGAGTTGGTGGGTATATTGGTGTACTGATAACATGGACTAGACAATCATGTGGGCTCTATCTGAATGTCACAATATGTCTACCTTGCATATTGATTCTTATCTTACCTTCATGTAAAATACTTTAATGTCATTGGTTAATGATGCTTTAACTTTTATTGTATTGAACTTTTAATGTTAAAATGCCACGGAAAAAATATTTTCAGAACAATTCAAAATTCAGAACAAAATAACTAAAGTTTTGCCCATTTGATTGCACTCGGTTCAAGATCCCATGTATTTTTTCATGTGGGAATAAATTCAGGTATCAGACTTTAAACTGCTCTTTGGTATGAATTGATATGAGATGTTTTTTCAAGATTCATGACTGCTGAAAAATACGAGATGTAATTGGAACTTCGTGGTGTTTGCACCTTGCAGGAGAAGCAGCGAATTCAGAAGGAGGCGGAGTTCCGGGAACAAGAGCAGCGTAAGGACGAACAGATGCGTCAGATGATCAAACAACACAACCAGCACCTGGCTTCTTTGCTGCAAAACATTCAGCAACCACCAAAGCCCAACCTCAACTCCACTGTTACACTAGATAAATCAGCAGAAAGTTACACATCGTAAGTGTTCACATTGGAAGTCTTTGCACTGCAGAGTGTTTCATACAGTAAGTCTTGGCTCTACTGTTGTGGTAGCTTATGTTTCTCTGCAGTTTCACAGTGTAGATCCTTAATTTTTCCTTATCCTGACTCATGCTCTTTTGCTTGTCTCCTTCCTCTTGCGAACATAGTGGAACACTTGTATCTCCCTAATTGAAGTTCCCTTCAATGTAAAATCACTAATTAGTACACCACGAGTTACCTCCCTTCCACAAGCGCGGGAACGAGGGCGCCACCTCTACCCATGTGCCTCACTCTCTCCTTCTTAGCCCAGTGAGCTGGACGTGAGAGCGCTCTGTGTCTCCCGACACACTATATCCTTTGATTATATTTAGTTAGTTACCTCGATAGAGATCTATAGAGGTTTAGCTAGTATCTTTCAACAATTATATATTGATATTTAGTCGTGTTTCTACTGTTTATGCACGGGCCGTGCTGTTGCAGTGGATTACGTTGATAAAAATTCTGTACTGTTGCACATTACGTTTTTATTCTGCTGCTGATCCGCATTTAATATGCCCTAGCTGTACTGCGCCATGTTTCATGTGATTCACGTTGCAGTTGCGATACTAATTTATCCAATTCTACCTTTAATAAATAATTACTTTGGCGCTTTGAGACGCCGCAGCAGATAGGTCACGTATGCAGAGTCTAGCATGACTGATACACCTGAACCCTCGCCAGTCTACTGCTGTTGGTCGACCCCCCTCCCGCCTGGGTTTCGCTAGAATGGTGGAGAGGCGTGGGACGTAGTCCGCCGCCCAAGAAGCCGCCCTGCTTCCCCAGACATCCCTTCACGCACTGAGGGGTATTCAACGAAGTCTACTAGAACTTTCTCAGCCGAGATTGTTCTCATCATGAGATTTGGGCCTGTATGATGATCAGCCGATCATCATTCCTGATGTACATCAAAGAATGACTGATGTCGGCAACAGTGATGTCAGCGCAGATCAACATTCGATGATCTTCCTGAGGGTCCCGTCGCTACCAACACTCAACGCAGACTTCGACACCCCAGGGCAGCGCCGACCTCTGAGGGGAATTCAACGAAGTCTACTAGGACTTTCTCACCGAGATTGTTCCAGCCGCTGAACTTGGCCTCTCACGATGATCAGCCCGATCATCATCCTCAACGTACGATGAGACAAGTAGCGACCCGGTGACAGCTACAATGACATCAGCAGAGATCGTCATGCAGCCTGATGTCTCTACACTGATGTCAGACGACTTACCTGAGGGCCCCACCACTAACAGCGCAGAGATGGCACCGACTACTTCGCCGCAGACCATCCCAGACGAAGCACTCACGGCAAATCATGGTCGATGGAGGGTCACTACAGACTGGAGAAGCAGCCAGCCCAGAGTACGAGCCTTCGCGAAGGCTCCAACTTAGACAACACTCTAGAGGCACCTCCAGTCAACGTAGCAGCCAAGACGATGCAGCCTTCGCGAAGGAAGTCGCAGACCACCTTGACGAAGGACCAGAGATGTACAGCTCGAAGGCCTTCGCTGGCGGGATAGATCATCACATTCCTCGCTTCATCCTTAGATGCAGACTCAGCCACCAGACCTCACGGAAGCCTTCGCGAAGCTCAAATCGCCGTTTCAGCAGCATCGAACGCAGAGGAAGCTTCGGCGAAGGCTTCAGGAAGGCGTTCAGCGAAGGCATTCGCGAAGGCACTCGGGAAGGACACCGAATATAGATCGCCATTTAACAGAGTCAAGGGACTACTCAAGAGCTTCGGCGAAGCTGTCAATAGTCTCCGATCTCCTCGTGCATCACCACATCGACGCCTCACAGGTTACCACACAAGTCTGCACACAAGTCTACATCACCTTCCTAGAGTGGCAGTGCACGACGCAGACATACCTGATGAAGGAAGACGACGCCAGATGCTATCACCCTACCTCCGATCGGGACATTGCTGCGGTAGCACAGAATCTAGACATAGCATCCCATAAAGCCACAAAAGTTCAGACACCATAATTGCCGAACTTTCACGCCTAGAAGTTTTCCACGCACAACATGGACCCCTTCTTCAAGGCTTAAGACATCGATGAAAACTACAAGTTGATCATCGATATCAACAATAAGAACTACAATCGTAGAATTGGTTCAGTTGAATCCATGACCATGAGACGTATGTTCGTTGGCCTAAATAGATCTAGAACGATCATTGAGACACTTATCACCAGATTTCTCGTGAATACTAACTTCTGAAAATGATAAGATGATCCACTCGGCCCTACTTATGCAGAACCAGCAAGTCCCAGGCAGCCCGCTGAAGGAGCTAGAGCCTCACCAGCTACAAGGACGCCGCTGAGGAGAAGGCCACGCTTGACCCACATCCTGTTAAACACAGAGGCCATTAGGTGAAGCAAGCTCTTATATATATATATATATATATATATATATTCTAATCGGACTTGATTTCGATACCTTCGCCAAGGTCGCGAAGGCTAAGTGGCTCCAAGTCTACTTCACCAGTAGATCTAGAAGGGATACGAGAGCTTCGCGGAAGTCTCCGGCGCTCACCGAGGAAGTCTCCTCCAAGGTCTCCATATACCAGCTTTCGTCATATATAGCTACTCCTCAGTCCGTTCAAGACATCGCGCATAAGTTGTCTATCAACTGTATGCCAGATGCCGCCTATAAGTTTCACGCCAAGACAATTGCACAGGCTATTTACAACACAGAACGTCGCTGTATTAATTTGTCAACGACGTTTCATAGATCTTCACAGAAATCAACTATTCCGTATAAATTGCTAGTATATGCAACCCGACGACGATACGATTATCTACATGCGTGACCATTACGCATATCTGCAGACAATTCAATATCGAATTGAACAGCAGCCTTATTACAGCGAGTATAACTCATAATCGTCAACATTTCTGAGAAGAAATATGTACAACAAATTCAGCTTTAATTCTACAATTATGACCCGATACATTCATGTATACAGTCTACAAGCTGACAACTTACAAGTTATTGTACCTTTATATATAAAGAAGTCGAATTATATTCAAAACTGAAGTACTTTCAACGACAGCCAGGAAAATAACCTACCCAGCATTAATATTACAGAGCAAGGTATTTTTTGCGAGAAGCTTTGCGTTTACCATTAATCCTCGAAACACGTGGTCACTCGGGTAACTTCGAAGTTACGATGAAGACCGATGATTGTTCTAATATCAACGACTGCACTATATTATACAAGGTTCCTTTTCCTGCTACACCGGTGACATCACAGCTGGTACTCTACAGAATCAAAATGCCTTATTCTGATTGGACCCCGATGAACAACGCCTCTACACAGAGGTCGAGCATAGTTCACAGTTCAAGACATAGGTTGCAAGTGACAACTTTATATCAATGAACGAAAGCAAGCCTCCTTACAGCCCAGTTAACCTGAACCTTCATGATTAGGCTGCTTTCTTCAGGTTAGAGACCTCCCCTGTCAAGTTTAGACAAGGGCACAGCAGTCAGGCGATTTTACATAAAGTTCATCGAAGACACAAACTCCCGGTTGTGCATTATACATCGCCAAGGACATCGCAACGATTTACCTAGACGACGTGATACAAGTGGATCGAAATCCACAGCGTTTCAGACTACACCTGAAATTCATCATCAAGCTACTAACACAACTAGATGGTTAGTAAACCTACTAAGTTTCTGTTTGGAGAATAAACGGAAGTTTCACGCATTACCAACTTGGGGATATGAATATAGTGCTACAACACCTCACAAGTGAGGTTTATGAACATGCCTGGATGACATACTTGGACTCCATGATACGATGATGCTATCATGCTGGCCAGCAAGAGCACTGTAAATTTATCTCCACCAAACCAAACAGGAAGAAAATATACAACAGATTTTTTCCTCTATCATCAACTTACGCAGAGTGTAGTCTCAATGCACTATATCTCCGCTTGGATCAGAACTGTCATACTACGTGCATACAAGACAGATGGACCTAATCCGACCCTCCATGAGCTTTAATACTCTTGATATTAGAGCCCTAACTTCTACAATTTCATCTACACAAATGTTATTTGAAATAATGGAGGGTTTATTACTGTAGATCCGGATATGGTGGTTGCCAACCATTATCTGAGAGATATCACCACCGAGGACATCTCAGGTATCCACCAATTCGATCCCATGGTCCTTGCACAACAGTTGACAGTTCTCGGAGAAGATAAGTCAATCTTACAGATTTTTACTTATCTTATAACAGTACTAAATAGCTTCATGCTATATATAATTTGCTTAAGCTCGCTTTTTATCATCACAGTGGTTACATGATAAATGCATTAGCTAACAAACTCTACAGAGTTTTTTTTTTTGGCTATTATATACTATGAGCTTAAGTCAAGAAGTATATTTAAGCATAGTACTATACTCATATTGTAAAAATACATTAGCTAACAAACTCTCACGGAGTTTTGCTATTATATAGGTAGCTTAAGCTCATTCATATCTTAAGCTCAGTACTATGTTTATATCATATAACTATATTAGCTAACAAACTCTAAAGAGCTTTTGCTATTTGGCTTAAGTTTCATCATATCTTAAGCAATATGGTTACATTATAACATGTATTAGCTAACAAACTCTATGGAGTTTTTGCTATTATATATGTAACTTAAGCTTATTCATATCTTAAGTTTAGTACTATGTTTATAGCATATAGGTATATTAGCTATCAAAACTCTAAAAGAGTTTTTTGCTATTATATATTGGGCTTAAGTTTTCATCATATTTTAAGTTTTATGGTTACATTATATCATGTATTAGCTAACAAACTCTAACGGAGTTTTGCTTTATACATATGTAGCTTAAGGTTTCTTCATATCTTAAGCTCAATACTATGTTGATACCATATAAGTATATTAGCTATTAAAACTCTAAAAGGTTTTTGCTATTATATATTTAGCTTAAGGTTTACTTCATATCTTAAGCTCAATACTAGGTCTAAATCAACATAATAAAATGTATTAGCTATCAAACTCTCACGGAGTTTTACTATTATATATATATAGCTTAAGTTTAATCATATCTTAAGCTCAGTACTATGTTTATAACATAAAAGTATATTAGTTAATAAACTCTAAGGAGTTTTTGCTATATACATTTAGCTTAAGTCTAATCATATCTTAAGCTTAGTACTATGGTTACATTATAAATCTATTAGCTAATAAGCTCTACAGAGTTTTTGGCTATTGTATATGTAGCTTAAGTTAATTATATCTTAAGCACAGTACTATACTCATATTGTAAAAATATTTTAGCTAACAAACTTTACTAAGTTTTTTATTATATATGTAGCTTAAGTTAATTATATCTTAAGCACAGTACTATACTCATATTGTAAAAATATATTAGCTAACAAACTATACTAAGTTTGGCTATTATATATGTAGCTTAAGTTAATTATATCTTAAGCACAGTATTATACTCATATTGTAAAAATATATTAGCTAACAAACTCTACTAAGTTTGACTATTATATATGTAGCTTAAGATAATTATATCTTAAGCACAATACTATACTCATATTGTAAAAATGTATTAGCTAACAAACTCTACAAGGTTTGTTATTATATAATTAGCTTAAAATTAATCATATTTTAAGCTTAGTGCTATGTTTATATCTTAAAGTATTTTAGCTAACAAACTCTAAGGAGTTTATACTAGCATATTAACAAGCTTAAGTCTATTAGTCTTAAGCATTGTATTAATATTATATATACTTATCATAATAAGTACATTGTAATAACCTCTATATGGCAGCTGATAAGCTGGCAGCAGGAATTCATCAGTTCAATGCCTTTATGAAGTTCTCATAGGGTTATTACAATCATCACAGTTCAAATCACTAATTATTAAAATCCAAAGTATTATATATTCCCACCTCCGCTCTGTTGGATTCTACAAGCAAAAGAGCATGAGTCAGGATAAGGAAAAATATGTAATTTTTTGAGTAAAATTGATATTTTATACTTATCCTGACTCATGAGGTCAGCCCTCCCATCCTCCCCAAATAACACTTTGGATTTCCCTGTAAATTCAAATGTTGGGCTCAGTATATGAGGAGAGAGTGAGGCACATGGGTAGAGGTGGCCCCTCGTTCCCGCGCTTGTGGAAGGGAGGTAACTCGTGGTGTACTAATTAGTGATTTTACATTGAAGGGAACTTCAATTAGGGAGATACAAGTGTTCCACTATGTTCGCAAGAGGAAGGAGACAAGCAAAAGAGCATGAGTCAGGATAAGTATAAAATATCAATTTTACTCAAAAAATTACATTTTTACCATGGTAGAAAAGTAATGTTCTTAAGAGAGTTCACATCTTAAGTCTTTGCTGAAAGGAGACCGGACTTGTGGGTGTTATTTTAAACTATCTTGAATTGCCACATTCTCTTCCTACAGAGGTGGGGCGGTGGGGTAGCCTAATGGTTAAAGCGTTGGCTCGTCACGCCGAAGACCCGGGTTCGAATCCCCACATGGGCACAATGTGTGAAGCCCATTTCTGGTGTCCCCCGCTGTGATGTTGCTGGAATATTGCTAAAAGCGGCGTAAAAAACCCCAAACCACACTCCTACAGAGGTTACTCAAATCATATCTTCCCACGTAACCTCTGTTTTAATACGGCCCTTTCATGGTGCAAGTGTTCAAGATTTGTGATTGGTTGCAATCAGATTTAGTTGTGCAGTCAGCAACGTTGTTTCAAAAGTGATCATTCGCTAAGCCTTGGTAATTTCTGTATGCTTCGGGAAAACTAGAACCTCTTCCCCTGTGCAATGTGCATATGTTTCAGCTAGACAGAACTCAGTCATGTAATGGCGTCTCCATCGCCCTCGTTGACAGTGGACAAGCTAGCCAATAAATGTCTTGTGTGTCACATCAACATAAGTCATCAGCAGAGGAGGGATATTTTTGGCCCCACTTTCCATTGCTAGTTTCTGATTTTCAGTTCAACATGAAATACCGAATCTATCCTTTGCATATTGATCAACTAACTCCATGGTGGCCGCCATTTTGGATCTAAGTCGATGTAACACATGTTCTGATTGGATAGAAAAAAGGGTGATAATTCATGTTGCGATTTTTTGCCATCAGGGGATTTTACAAGAACCGGGAAATATGGCCGTATTAGAACAGAGGTTTCTTGAGAAGATATGAGTTGAGTAAGCTCTGTTTGAAGAGAATGGGATTGCCACTGCATCACAGCAAACATGCAATGGTTTGGCATATCTATATGCCAAGTAGATGTCCAATTTCTTCAGATTGATGTGGCAAGTGATGTGGCCAGCAACTTTACTAACAACATGTGTTTGTTACAGGTATGAAATCACCCCTGCTAAGAAGAAGAAAAACAGCAGTTCAGAGAACTACAACATAGAGGACCTCAACTCGGAGGATTCCACCGATGATGAAGACCAGCCCAAGAAGAGATTACCTCTCTGGGCACAAGGTAGGATCTTTGCTTAGACCAATTTTGGGGGGCTTCAGCCTCCAACGCAGATTGTTGGTTAAGGACAAAATTGACAGAGTTTCAGAGTTTAACTGTATCAAGATTAGCTCCTTTTTAGTCAAAGGGTATCTTTAATAAAGACAGAATTTTATGGTTATTTTCTAAATAATTTTTGTTGTTTTTAAAATGCTTCAGCTTCTGGTCACTGAGCTGAAATCATAAGAATTTAATACCTGTTGCTGAAGAATTGCCAGTTTGAATGAGATCATGAACATGGGCTCATCTATTTTGGAATGATGATAATGATTTTCTTCTTCACAGACCGGAATCTGAAGGCTGCTCTAATAAACCAACACTATCATCCACCAAACACTGAGGGAATCTTTGGCGCTATTGATCCACCCGATCTCAATGTCCTGTTCAAGAAAGTCAAGCCGAGGTTCAACAAGCGCACAAGTTCAGCCATCTGGGATTCACCTTTGTACAAACCTAATGGGGCACCTGTTTCATGATCATATCATTCAGTTATCAAGACTCAATCTCTTTTATCTCTATTCCCTCCGTCTGACTGTGATCTCTCAGTCCAATGCTTGTACCTTCACCATCAATGGCAGGTCTCATATTTTTGTTACTTGGTTCATGGATCCCCAGAAATAAAAGGAATCAGAGGGGAAGAATTCCAGTGTAAAAACTGTTTTTAATAGCGCCAAACCTGATGACACTTATGAAGAAAATCGCAAATAATTTTTTGTACTGGCAGAAGTAAAGCATACAGGCTTGTAATGGTTTGCTGAAACATTTTCATAGCTCATGTGTAACATACTTCTTAAGGGAACACAATATATACTGAGGGAAACAAATAAGGGAACACCACTTCATGGCAGTGTTCCTTTATTTATTCTCAGATTACTCCCACAGCGTTATTCAAAGCCGGTAATAAAAACTGGAAAATATTAAAGGAACGCTTGAATTTTCCTGTGTTCCTTTATTTGTTTCTCTGAGTATATTCAACATTCCTGTCAGATTTCACCAAAATGCAAAAAGTTACATAGAGGTTTAGGTTATATTTTTATTCCTCTCATTCCAACCATTTATTCTTAGTCTGTTCATTTCAACCAGCGATCAGAGGTTTGAGAAAAACAACAATAAACCAATTAAAAACATAATGTTTGAGTGGCACTATCAATATCAAAGACTCCCTCAGTCTGATGTGAGGGCACCCAACAACCGTGAACCAATTAATATCAAATATAGGCCACTAATGTTTGAGGGACACCATCTGGCCTTAAAGCTTGCATCTGGTAGATGTGAGGGTGCTGTGCTCGTGGTTTTCGCTCCATGTAAGATAGGGGAGGTGGGGTAGCCTAGTGGTTAAAGCGTTGGCTCGTCACGCCGAAGACCCGAGTTTGATTCCCCACATGGGCACAATGTGTGAAGCCCATTTCTGGTGTCCCCCGCCGTGATATTGCTGGAATATTGCTAAAAGCGGCGTAAAAATAAACTCAGTCAGTCAGTCCATGTAAGATAACAAGCAAGGAAGATAAACCATAGGCCAGAACATACAAGTGCATATTTGTATCAATACAACAACTTGTTCTTATTAATTGTATTTGTTGTTAAACTCAATTGATATTCTGTACATTTGTAAAGATGTATTAAATTATGCATCGCAATATTATTTTATTGAGAAACAGGATCATTTATACTCATTTACTGTCTCTTCAATTTTTAACTTTGGCACTTCCTGTCTTTCTTTTCCTAATTCTTGAATCATCCAATCTTCTTCAGTGATTTTCCTGGTGTTGTCTTGGAACAATACCGTATTGTTGTAGTATGTCTCTCGGTTGTAGCTTCATGATATGATACAGATTTTGTGGGAGTTATGTTATTTCAGTCATTATATTTACATGTATGAATCAGGGTTTGATGAGCACTGTGGTTTTCATTCATATGTGAAAATCGTGGCAGTGGGGTAGTCTAGCGGTTAACTGTTCAATCGTCATGACCTGGGTTTGATTCCCTACATGGGGACTAGGGGTGAAACGGTATGGTACAAGGACTTCGGTTAGGTCCGTCTCAGTTCGCTATATGAGATATGATCATAATGCAGAAAATTGATAACAAGAGCCAAACCTTACATTGTTTAATAACATAGGGGAAAAAATAACCATAATATTTGTTACTTTGAATGAGCAAAAATACCAAATTTTTGCATTGCATTACGGTATACAGAACCGAAAGCAAATTGCTGCGGTATACTGTTTCACCCCTAATGTGTAAAGTCCATTTCTGATGTCCATTCAGCATGATATTGCTGGAATATTGCTAAAAGCAGTGTTAAACCACACTCTCATCTACCAGGTTGAATATGTCATAATGTGATAGCTTTAAGAGTATTCCAGTGGTGTTATGTCCTTTCAACTTAATGTTGTAAGACTTGCATGTGTCAGATGAAGTGGATGTGGATGAGCACTGATATGTTACCGAGAAACATAAAAACATGTCCCTTTATACAAGATGGGGATGGGATAGCCTAATGATAAAGTGTTAGCTCAACACGTCGAAAACAAGGGTTCAATTCCCCACATGGGTAGAGTGTGGGAAGTCCCTCTCTGCTGTTCCCAGCCTTGATATTAATGGAATATTGCTAAAAATGGCATAAAACCCAACACATGATTAAGTGATACTTCTTAGCAATGTGAATGAAAGCATTTGCTCATACAAATCATACATTATTATTAAGTATCAACAAAATGCTAGTTACCATATTTCCTCTAATAAGCGCGAGGCCTCTAATAAGTGCTGGGTTTGTTTTTATTATAAATGTAGACTCCCTTGATCCAAAAATAGATTTATTAAGGAATGGTCCCAACTTTGAAGTAACGCTCACTAACAATTAATTACGGTACACCCAGTAAGCGCAATAAGCCCAGGCATTTATTAGAGGAAATATGGTATTTTGTATCATATCGTGGAGCAATGATGCCTCATGGACCTGTTCACCTCACTCATGTATTTTGTGAAACTGTCCACTCTTTCATGTGTATATAGCTTTCCTACTGTGTTGTAAATATGTAAACATGTACATAGGTCATCCATCTTATTAATAACATCTCATATCTCACAATACACACAGACCATTCATCTATCAGTGAATGTACATTTCTGTTCATTTACCAGACTGTCATTTTAAGGAAAGCTCAATTTCTTGTTGATTGTTCTGTGCCATAACAGTAATACATTTTTAGCAGTGAATTTAGTAAATCTCATTCATGTTTTTATTAATGTTTATGTTTTACACAGTGTATCCATTTTGTATTTTTGATAGTCCATAGAGCACAGACATAAAACATTCTTTCTGTCATTCCCCATGCTTATTGTAGGTACTTATAACATTTTCTGGCCTTTCAATAGCAGTCTATTGGAATGAATGTCATCTTGGCTGTATTTATTTTAAGGACATATGACTTATGCTAAGTATGTTTGATTAAAATCTATCGGTGTATGTCATATAGGTATGGAGAATATACTAGCTCTGCTTTGTCCCGATATATCAAAGATCAGCCTCAGCGCTGTGACTCACTGCCATACTGTGGATGTCTGTACACAGTGAACTATCCTCTTTCATCAAGTTAACTGTCAGTTACTGTGTACAAATGCTTTTACAGAGTGTAACTTGGTATCTGCATTTTCAGATGAATGTGAATAAATTCTGAAATGTAACAATAACTTTGTTGTTCTCATTAAACATAATTTATTTAACCTGTTCAGTGGTGTATTATATATACCCTTGACTCTTTGCCATCAAAACTTTGAAAGACACAATGCAGAAAGCAGCCATCAAACCAGTACAATGTCTGTCTTGATTGAAACAGCCTTGATATCACCCAGTACTCAACTCTCCTTGTACTCCATCTCAAATATTACTGGGATGGAATAGTGACATGTCTTCTGTTATCTGGATACAAAGCATTTTTCCAGCTGACACATTGATACTCACCTGTGAAAGTCCCAGTTAGAATATTCATCTTCAGTAACCTATGCTTGTGTTGCTTGTGTAAGAGGCGACTAACCCTTGGTCAGGCTCACTGACTTGGTTGACAACATGTCATCGGTTCCCAAGCAGATCGATGCTCATGCTGTTGATCACTGGATTGTCTGGTCCAGACTCGATTATGTACAGACCGCCGCCATATAGCTGCAATATTGCTGAGTGCAGCATAAAACTAAACTCACTCACTCTTATTGATACTAGTCTTGATTAAATGTAACATTTCAAGAATGCTACAATGTTTTGTGAAGATCTCTTCCAAACTCTTTGAGGAGTCATTTTTATTAGTTTCAAGTGGAACTCGAGGCCAAGTTACTAGTGGTCAAGATGGAGATTGTTGCCGTGCCGAATCAAAGCCTTGTAGGGCCGAGGGACCGAGGGTATTTATTGTATGGGTACTGGAGAATGTAAAAAGCAGGTTATATTACTGTATGGTGATTGTATAACAACCAGCCTGAAGGCACTGAGTGATGTTGCCATCCCAAGAATACTACAACAAACATCGAATTGGAGATTACCGATTCTACTGCTGGATGTGAAAAAAGAACGAATCTAAAAAAATACAAAGTGGTCCATATACATTCTTTACCGCTCACAAATATGAAGAGTAAATGAACTAACCGACTGAAAAATGTGTGACTCAACGCACTCAAAACAAGTTGAATGCATTAATCACCAAGTCCATCTTCCACAGTCAGTGCCATATGACCAGGCCGGGTGGTATTAGTGGCGGAAACTTTCTGTACAGAGTTACGATCCCCGTTTTTCGTTGTTTAATGCCGCACTCAGCCTATTCCAGCTACATGAGAGCGGTAAATACGAGCGGTAATCGTGTTTGGACCAAACAATCCAGTGACTGACATAAGCATCAACACCAGTTGGATACAATGCCATGCATCAACCAAGTCAGCCAGACCCGTTAGTCACCTCTTACGAAATACAGGGGTTGCTGAGGATCTGTTCTTACCCGGAACAACGTCTAACTTGTCTACTTTGTCTAACACGGAACCACGTACCGGTGCAATACTAATATGAAACTCTGTTATTTGAGTACAAACTCAACTGAATATTTTGGGAAAATATGGTAATGAATAGAAACTATCGGTTATTTTGGAACGTTTGAATTGGTGGTCCGACATCGACGCATGAAAAAAGATGTCAATGGAAATTCAATTACTGTTATTAATTCCTACACTTATCTTGGTTTGGTATTTTCTCACACAATGAACTTAAAGAAGTCTGCATTCTAAGATGCCTAGCGGTTAGAACAATCGAAAAAAAAATACATTATCAGACAATAAAGGTATAGTTTTTTGATGACGTAACAATTGAATGACGTCATCCCGTCACTATATTCTACGTGCCCCTCGTAATCGAACCATTTTACATTACAATGTAAGCGACGTCACGATGCATGTCAGTTGTCATCGCCTCGTACGGCCTCCTACAGTAAACTACTCCGTTGCATCCCGTTTCTTGGTTTGCAGTTGCTTCACGCAGCTAACATCACTGGTGGAAACATTGCGTTTATGTTTTACGACGGTTAAAATGTCTCAATTCGACTCACAAGTTTTCAGCGACACGGTAACGTTCGCAATGTTTACATTCCACAATGCAATCGTGGAATGTCGCTTGACTACTCGGCTTCATCGGGATGTACTGATCTAAACTTACGTTGGTAGTAGAAATGCGACGTTCATATTGCCCCATATGGTTTACGTTAATGACAGATGTAATTATGATTATTCAGAGAAGATATTTAATCCGAACGTAAACCGTCATCAAACTGTTATCATTTTTTTTTCTGGTAACGTTCATCTTAACGTAGGGGGCAGACACATCAATAGAACAGCGCACCAGTTAGCCCTGTGCGAGGATTCTTAATTTAGGTCAACGACACCGTCGTTTGTTTTTCGCCTTAAATTAATCGTAATTGTCCTTAGAAAGTATTAAATTTAGCATCTTAGAAAGATAAAGTTCGCTCTACCTAATGTGTTTTGTAATAAAGTATAGAATTTTGCCCTGAACTATTATAACATCAAAGCACTCGGACTACCGTCCTCGTGCTTTAATTATAATAGTTCAGGGCAAAACTATACTTTATTACAAAACACAATGGGGTAGAGCAAACTTTATTTCCTAATTATAGATCTGAATACGTGATAAAAGATATTTTATTCACGTACAATATTAATCTAAACTTGTCTAAAATGTCCCCCCAATGTCTTTTTAAACGTTACGATACTGAAATACAAGCAATTTTGCTTTATGGTTTTGAAGTATGGGCCGGGATTTCAAAGTTTTTAATGTTTCGAATGTGCATGTCAAATACCTCCGGACTGGGTCCTCTCACAACAAACGTCTGGAGAGTTAATTACGTGCCCTTATTGTCAGTTTAGATTGGGTTTGTCTGAATTAATGATGATCGGAGGAAGAAAAAAAGGTAAAGGTTATGTATTGAGAATGAAATCCCTTTGTCTCTACATATCCAGCTCTTAATAGTTTGAGAATTCAGTATATACCAAAAACGTACGTTTACAGAAACGTAATTCCCTCCCTTTAAGACCTTTAGAAATGATACCGATCCTTTACATTTGTCACTTTATTTAAAGCATGTACACATCTTAAGAAAGAACCTCTCATGTTACTGTATATTTTGTGTACTCTTTAACTTTTAGGCCTAAATATAATAAACTTCTTCATATTCTTCTTTCCACATCAAGCAGACACACCCCGAACAGCGTAAAAAACCCAGGTCGCTCCATTTGGTTTGACCTTCTGTTTGGGCGGTGGGGTAGCCTAGTGGTTAGAGCGTTCGCTCGTCACGCTGAAGACCCGGGGTCGATTCCCCGCATGGGTACAATGTGTTAAGCCCGCTTCTAGTGTCACCGGCAGTGATATTGCTGGAATATTGCTAAAAGCGGCTAAAACCTAAACTCACTCTGTCACCGTGCCCGATCGTGAGCATCGTTGCTCATACTGTCAAGGACTGGTTTTTCTTGTCCATGGTCCTGTTTCCATATCACTGAGGTATTGTAATATATATCTGTTTGTATGTCTGCTTTGTCAGTCATATTCCAGCTATATGACGGTGATCTGTAAATCATCCAGTCTGGACCAGACAATCCAGTGACTGACATCGATGAGCATCAATCTACGCAATTGGGATAAGATGACATGTGTCAACCATGTCAGCAAGCCTGACCTCCCAACCCATTCGCCGCCTCTTATGACAAGCTTGGGGCGCTGAAGACCAATTCTAACCTAGATCCTCACGGTTGGGTATTGCCATAATAAATTGCCATGTTAAATTGCTGACTGTTGCCTTCAAACAACATTCACTCACTAGCAGTGTTTCTTGAAAGGATGTAGGTTTGTTTCATTTCCGGTCATTGTCGACTCCCGGACATATCACACTCACCGACTTTCTTCTTTTCCCCAGAGATAGTCAAGTGTAAATGTAGAGTAGAAGATATCGTCTGTCATCCTTATCGTGTCACTGTTAGTGGGTTTGTACTAGCTGATTATCTTATAACATTTGCATCCTATCTTCAGACACCCACTGCCCAAACAGTCGGACTCTAGGTGAGTATATCTTCTTCGCCCATCTGGCTGAAGTCGTACCGACGTTTATATACCATGTAATCAGGGGTAAATCAGTCCGATCATCACCGTGCAGCACTGAGACGACTGCAATGTAATTAGGGCAACTAGTCCGGGCATATTGACCGTACACAAAACATGACCTTGACGACAACCAGGAGGGTTTCGCCCCCAACTGACACTGTTGACTCTGGGTAATGTCGTAAATAATCTAACTGTATTACAATAGGAAATGATCCTACACCTCTTTGACTTTAAATCCTTACATTGATGAATTGCCACGCTAATTTAAAATTAGAATACCAAATAGTTGTTGCAACATTGAAAAGAAGTGTCGTAAAATCATTTATCAGTCGTATGTGTACGCAACTCATGTGATGCAGCTGTTGTGGAATATATAACGCATTGTTTCCACGAGGCTTGGGATATTGATGAGAGTAACTCACCAGCTCCGATCATTTTGTTACTGGGATTTGTATAGGCAAAAACATCGAACAAGCAGATGTGGCGTGAATGTTTGTGTATCATACTGTATGGCCGATATCGAGGTCACGCTTTGAGAGCTCGCTATCGTATCTTTGTGAATTATGTCAAGGTCACCGCGGTGGTATTTAAGCGAGTGAGTTTAGTTTTCCGCCGCACTCAGCAATATTCCAGCTATATGGCGGCGGTCTGTAAATAATCGAGTCTGGACCAGACAATCCAGTGATCAACTGCATCAACATCGATCCGCGACATGTGTCAACCAAGCCAGCGAGCCTGACCACCTGATCCCGTTAGTCGCCTCTTACGACAAGCACGGGTTACTGAAGACCTTCACTGGTCGATGGTATTTAATATCTAGTTTATGAAATAGAAATATACAACATGATCGTATTTGACAAGACAGACAAACTTAACAGTGCTATTTATTTATTTATTTATTTATTTATGTATTTATTTATTTATGAAATGCGGAATTGTTCTGGTTACACAAAATACAGCCAGTTTGAATAAATCGACGGTGCATCATATTAAAGGGAAATCAGTTATCTTCACAAGCAATTGCAAATAGAGCACTGGGTTAGAATTCCGTATGAGCCTTAATTGTGTTTGTTTGTAAAACTAAACTCACTCACTCATTGTTCGTTGTTTGACGCCACACTCAGCAATATTCCAGTTATATGGAGGCGGTCTGTAAATAATCGAGTCTGCACCAGACAATCCAGTGATCTACATCATTAGCTTCGATCTACACAACTGATATACGATGACATGTTGTCAACCAAGTCAGCGAGCCTGACCACCCGATCCTTGTCGCATCTTACGACAAGCAGGGGTTACCGAAGACCAATTCTAACCCGATCTTCACGAGTCCAAGACATGCCTCTCAGACCAAGCTGACACGCTGATCTGTAACTACGATACCACTCTTACTTCAGTGTAAACACCAAACACCCCCAGTGTCAGGAACTTGGTGATATGTATATTTGATGGTAATCTGATGCTCCCTGCCTACAGGCCGCGATGACCGACACCAACCTATCGGCAGTGCTGTACAAGGTCCAGGACCTCAGGCTGGTAAGAGCATGGGCATGGCCAGATTGTAGTCTAAAGCCGGGTTTCCATGTGCGCGTAGTGCGTGATGCATAGAGCGTATGTTTACTTGCGTAAACAAGACTTTGATTTTACTTACGCTCAAAACGTGTACGAATACACATCATGCAGCTTTACGGTGGCCGGAAGTAGGGATTCCCAAGGGGTTTTCCAAATGTCACGTGGTTTTCATTGTACACCCAAGAAAGAAAGAAAGATTTAACGCATCACATAGCCTTTATACACGTAAATCATGGAATTGGACACCACTCACACGTAATACGCACTAGCATCACACAATAACACATTGAAACCTAGCTTAAAGCGCAGAAATTGGCTGTGCAGATTAAAGTCCCTTGTGCGGATCCGAAGACTTTGGTTTTATTCCCACATTCGCCCTGACTATATTTCTAGGTTTGTCAACGCTATGTCCTTGCTCGTGGTCTTCAAGAAACTGGTAAACACCCAAGACCTACAAGATGACACACAGTGACATACTGGAAATATTCTTTAAAGCCTGTTACTGAGACTCATTCACTCAATCAGTACAAAGAAAACAAAATCTTTGTCCTATTTAGCGTTTTCTTTTACATTTCTGTTCTGTTGATCTTACGTGTACTTTATTTACGTTTATGCATCAAAATATTTTAATCATACTGTGAGAAGACATGAGTTCCGGCAATGACAACATTCCTATCGGTGTGTTTCAGGTTGACCGGCCTATCCCAGAACCTAAACAAGGGGGTAAGTGGTAACTCTGGCTGAAGCTTGTCCAGGACAGACAGATCCAGGCAGGGTCGCTCATTCCCAGATTAGACATGATCACATACCTTGGCGGGTCTAACCCCTGGCGTTCTGTATTGGGTTCACGTTCATGATAAACATCCACAATTTTCGTCACAAATAGCACTGGTATTCGACGAAATAGAACATACTGTTCTGGGTGCTCATCCACTCATTAAAATGCATCCAAAGAAACATACGCACGCACGCACACACACGCATTCGCAGCTATACATGTAACATATATATGTCACACAGGGCTTGAAATAAAAGTCAGTACATGGTGCGGATCCCCTTATGTCTATATATTAAGCATAGGTCTAAAACAGGGACACTCATTGACCGAATACTTGCAGTTTCAAGATATCGGATTTACAGTTTTTTCATTTGAGCTACAAAGCCTTGTATTTAATAATATATTTGTTACGTAATAATTTCACTTTATCTGTTTGTTTTCAGAGGTCCAGATATCTATGCGGACAGTGGGGATATGTGGTTCGGATGTCCACTACTGGCACAGTGGGGCTATCGGTCACTTCGTGGTCAAGGCCCCCATGCTTCTCGGCCACGAGTGTGCGGGTGTAGTCAGCAAGGTGGGGGAAGGAGTCACCCATCTCAAGGAGGGTAAGGGGGTACTCTCAACCATTCATATATAGTGTGAGAACAATCACTCACGAAACATCATTCATGGAACCACAGGTAAATCTGTACCGACCAATCTTATGATGGCACGAATCTTTCTTGACGTGTTTGATAACGTTTCGGGTCTTATTCTGACAACAAATGAAAGAAAATTGCCTTACATCCATCCATAGTTTCACATCTGCCTATTTTACAGATAAACGAACTTTATGGGTAACAACTTCTTATTTTTTATGAGTGGTACAAAGATATGCTTGACAAGGTACAAGAATATGTCTCCAAACGTCGCACTCACGAAATAAAAGACGTTATCCATAAAATTTGTCTATATTGTACTTCCCATGCAACTTCTAAAATGCCAATCAAAGAAGCTATTCTGCAGAGCCAGACAGCTTCGCTTCAGAGGCACAATAGGTCCCCAGTGACCTAGGAAGCTTGACGTAAAGATAGACAATTACATTCACATCAGATCTAAGATTTGGTACCTCGATCTGTCCTGCAATATCTGCTGAATCCTACATAGGAATGAATGTGTGAGTTGGATTTTACGCCACTTTTACCAATATTCCAACAATATCACGGCGGGGACACCAGAAATGGGCTTCACACCTTCGGCATAAGGTGCGAAAGCCTTAACCACTAGGTTATCCCCCCCCTCCAATTCTTCTTATTACAAAAAATATTAGAAGGTATCGGTTCAGTTAACTGAAATTATGAGACTGAACAGCAGACTGAGGATCGGATGGTTATACGGTATCTTTTGCTGATTCTGATGGTACCAGGAGAACCGTCGTAGAGTTTGAGTGATGCTGACTGTGGCGTAAAACACTATTTACTCAGTCATTTGCATGTGTTTATACATATGTATGTATGTTTGTATACACAACACGTCCGTCATGTCCGATGTATCTGTTTGCAGGAGACCGCGTTGCCATCGAGCCCGGCGTCCCGTGTCGTCAGTGTGACCTGTGCAAAGATGGCCGCTACAACCTCTGTCCAGACGTCTTCTTCCTGGCCACCCCGCCAGACAGTGGCGCCCTCGCTAGATACCACACTCACGCCGCCGACTTCGTCTTCAAGTCAGTACAGCAGAAACACCTGCACATAGACTACGGTTGCCTGACTGGGACCGTACTGGTGATATGCATGCTATACAGTTACCGTATTCCTCCTTCATTCGCTCTAACAGTGAAAATCCTGATAAAATCCGTATTTTTTAGTCTTTCGAAATTTCAACCGCAATTGATAGGAGACTCAACCTTTATATTTTCAACGTCTCTGTAACAATTAAATGTGTATGTGTCTTCGAATGGATGATTATATTATTATTATTCAATCGACATTTTCTGGTTATTCATGGTTTCACTTGTAATCCAGACTGCCGGACAACGTGAGCTTCGAGGAAGGATCTATGATTGAGCCCCTGTCTGTAGGACTGCACGCGTGTAGAAGAGCCGGCGTGAAGCTGGGTGGACGGGTGATGGTCTGTGGGGCAGGTGCGTGCAACAAACGGATTTACTGAATCGTTTATTAGATCTATGTGCAGAGTATCTTTAGATTCGTGAGGCTTCGCTGGCATTTACATTCTCGATTACCCAGTACATTTTATCTCCTTTCTGTCATTATACAGAACCTCAATCCACAGCTTCGTTTCAGAAATCACGACATTGCAGCTATACCCCAATCTTTCTTTAACTCAGCACAAAGTGTCTTTCGCTTATGGGTGTAATTCGATTGGACTTCTAGTTTTTTTTATTGGACTGGAATCGTGATCAAATGTGGCGAATGGATCTATGGGTCTATTTATCATCGCAGAATGAATGCTATAGTACATTAATGTTGAAAGAAATATGTATTTGTAACATTTTGTTTCAGGACCTATTGGTCTGTGCGCCATGTTGTGCGCCAAGGCTATGGGTGCTGCCGGGGTGTGTATGACAGGTGCGTGATCTGCAGCAGTATCTGCTCTTCTTTCTATTTGGTATTATCACTGAATTTATTGAAGAATAACAATTAATTCAAATTTGAGATGATCCATTTTGGGGGCAACATGGATGTGAAAGTGTATACGCATAACATCAGTATTTGTGGCTCACCAGCAATTCATGTCCTGTGCACACTTCAGACATTGACGCCAAGCGCTTGGAGTTCGCCCGACAGGTCGGTGCGACATCTACTGTTCTCGTCGACACCAAGGACGTGGAAGACGTCGCAGCCAAAGTTCGCGAAGCATTGGGAGGCGCGCCCGATTTCTCTATTGAGGCCAGCGGAGCTCAGTTTTGTGTGGAGCTTGGTGTTGTGGTAATTATGGCCGAACATATAGTGAGTGAGTGATTGATTGAGTGACATCGGTTTTAATGCCAATTTGAACAGGATTTCACGGAGCGCCACCTTTTGTAAGATAAGGCGCAGCGTGACTCTAGACATGTAATTTCAAATTGTATGACCAACGAGCAAAGGCGTGACGCTGACATACGAGGTCATTAAATGGTCCCGGGACTATATAATGAGCTACTAAACTCTTTCCACAATGTCCTCCCATTTGTGAGAACTCCCATTTGTGAGACACATTAATTAATGGTTGAATGCACAAATGGGAGTAGATCCTTTCCACAATCATAAGAAATATCGTTCATTTCTACTATATCAAAGCACCCGTCCAGGATTAGATACGGCGTGCCCAATATATTAGGAGCTCCTTCGACACATGTTGCCAGTTTGTCATAATGGGTCATCGGTGCCTCGTGCTAACACTTAGACTCGAACAAAATGGGTATCGGTTGATCCAGCTCTGTGACTTAGTTCACTGCATGTCATCTTGCCCGAATAAGCGAGCCATTGACAGTGTATTGGACACGTGGCGACGTTCGTTAACCTGGACCGTACATCTTATTTGCTTTTCGGAAGAATATACATTGTATTCTTGAATACATAATGGATGATTCCTTCAACTACGCAAGATGAGTTTACAAGCCTCAACACATTTTGAGCCTCGATTATCCATTGCGTGATGGCTTAACCTATAGGAACTGTGACACACTGGATAATCGAAAACTATCCATCATCCATCTTCTGATGTAGATCTCAAAGGGCACTTCATCTCCCAGACAGTATGGCTAAACAGGTATGTTTTTGTGTTGTAGGCCACCAAGACAGGCGGCACCTTCGTGGTGGTCGGTCACGGCCCCAGCCACGTCCAGATCCCCATCGTCAACACTGTGGCAAGGGAGATCGCCATCAAGGGATCCTTCAGATACGTCAACACGTTAGTATCTGCAATACTGCCATTTAGCAACACTGGGATCTCCCAAGTTGTTTAGTCAGCCTTCTGTGCATAGTGACCGCCACTGTGACAGTCAGACTGTACAGCTAAAGGTGAACAAAATAATGTTTGCACCTTTGAAGAAAAAAGGGGCATAACTCTGCATGGCAATTTTTGTGACACCCCTTGACAATTCATCTTCATCTGTCTCAACCAGTGACAAATGGCACAAGTAAACATTCCCATCAGTGATATGGTTTTAGGTATATGATTTCCAAGTAGTAATCACGTCACCAGTACACTGATCAGTCATAAACACAGATGTCCAGATGTCAATACTGATAGATTAAGTTCTTATGACTATTTCATGTGTTACAGTTGGCCAGCCGCCATAGCCATGATATCCTCTGGCAAGATCAACGTGAAGCCCCTGGTCACACATCGGTTTCAGCTGGAAGAGACCCTGGATGCCTTCAACACTGCCAAGTCTGGTGTGGGGGTCAAGGTCATGATAAACTGCCAAAGACAATAATCAACCAATGTGCCCAGAGAGTACATGTGTATCTACCAGTTATCTCCCTTGGTTTGTGACCTCATAAGCAGTATTTATCACTGGTTTGTTATATCCGTATTTCTTCAATATTCATAAGCCATGATGAGCTATGATCAAGATGTCTTTCTGGAACTGATATAACCAACCTGTAATTGTTTAACTGTCATACCTGTCTGGATGCTTTGTTTGCTGAAATGATTGAATCCTGAGAACTTACATTTGATGCTTTTTATGTATTTTTTCTTGAAGGTTGACTAGTAGTGAGAATATCGACCTTTATTTACCAGATACAGATGTCTTCCCAAACCCCAAATCCTGATTAAACAATTCTTGCAAAATGGAACAATTTATTAAAAAAGGCATTGTAATGCTGTTTTGTCATACAATGTTTACATGCAAGTCAGGAACAGAGTACTTCATGGCTACCTGTTAGAACCATGAGTTTGTTATATCAGTATTCATACAGAATATGAAAATACACGATGTCTAAGAAAGTTTTCATTCTGTCTGTACTATCAACACCACACCACACTGCTTCAGCCAGGATTTGTTTGAGTGTTACCAATTGCCACCTTAACTACTAACAGGTGTGCCCATGCAGTTGAGACTTTTGCCATTCACGGTAACCATGGTATAGAAGACCTGTGGATTATATTAAATGTTGTGCCAATGGGTACGCTCAAGCAATGTAAAAAAAGTGCGACTGCATATTTTTTAGTGTCAATGGCGCATGCCTGGCTGAAGCACTGTTACACACATTACTTATATTTTTAAAAATGTTATTTTAAACAAAAAGAGATGTCAAAACCCACCCTGCAAAGTACAGTACATACACAGCTGTCATGGATTTATTCGAGGTAGTTTCCAGGAACAAAGACACCCCTTGTATTTACAGTGTATGGACAACTTAATATAAAAATTCAAATCAACATTTTCGGCTCCTAAAGTTCTAGCAAAGTCAATTTAGTAATAAAGTTTACCCTATACTTAGATACATCTATACTGTGAAATACACGTGTCATTACTGAAGGGTCAAACATATGCCGACATGCAACAATAGGTCAGAGTGTGTTGATACTGGGATCAACAGTAGAACATGTTGCTGATACTTATGACACTTACTGGAAACTTTTATGCAATGGTAAAAGTTACCGCAAAATGAGTCTGAAAGAAACCAATGACCCCAAGCATGAGCAACAGATACTGTAGGCATTAAATGGTTCATGTCATAGTTGAAGTTGAAAATGTGATGTTTTATTTCTTATTATGGACGGGAAATAATGAATATACAATGTCATGTACTGAAATATAATCCGAGTGTTCTTGCTATGAAAGTCCTCAGCACTATGATCTCTCTTTTCACAACCAGACTTACACGCAAGTAACAATGGTCAGGCTCTTCATGCTACTTTGTATTGTATCAAGTGAGGGTCAAAGAAAATCTGACTGACACAGTCCCCGTTGCCAACATATAGTAACACATAAACTATCTTATTTCTTGTCAAGTTAAAGCAATAAAACACAACAAGTAAGACATGAATAGGTTTTATTTTTTTCATGGTTTGTAAGGTAACAATTCCTAGTGTAGTGTTTTATAATTTACAACTAGTCAGAGCAAGATTGACGTTGTTTATACATGGCTTCAGTCAACTTGACAACATATTCACTTCACACTAAACAGAAGCTGATGGTTATGCCTTGGCCAGTCCCCGTAAATCAGCGATGCATTTTGAAATACTCTCCTTCTCCTATTGAAGAAAAAGAAAATTGTGTAAACCAGAGAACCTGAGCATATAGTCAGTGACTGACTGACTGACTGACTTTAGTTTTCTCCGATTTTAGCAATATTCCAGCAATATCACGGCTGGGGACACCAGAAATGGGCTTAACACATTGTGCTCATGTGGGGAATCGCCTGGGTCTTTGGCGTGACAAGCCAACGCTTTAACCACTAGGCTACCCCACCGCCCCTATATAGTCAGTGACTGAGACTCAGCATTATTCCAACTATATGGCAATGGTCTGTAAACATTCAAGTCTGGACCAGACAATCTAGTGATCAACAGCATGAGCATCGATCTATGCAACTGGAATATAATCACATGTGTCAACCAAGTCAGCGAGCCTGAACACCCGGTCCCATTAGTCGCCACTTTTGACAAGCATGGGTTACTGAAGATCAATATTCTATTCATGTTTACATAAACACTACAAGCCTGTTGCGTGATATATACTCAAATGCTAAAAATGACATAGCACACTTTTCCTTTGTGACAGACACTACTGGGTAATCATTGTAGAAGTAACTAGCTAACCACTTTCAAGTAAAATGTAGCGAAATATATAAGACATGAAAACCAACAAAATTCCAACCCAGGCCTTCACTACACCAAGGAAGAAGCATCAAACCACCATGACCCGTCAGTCCGACTATGTTGAGTTCAAACAACTGTATATTCATTACATGTTTTTGTAACCATTGTTCTTAGTGGGGGTGGGTATTGCAGAGAATTTTCATATTCGATGATAAAGCATATTTTGCGATATGTATTGCAATATATTGCAAGAAGTATTCTTTTAAAAAAAAAACTACTTATAATCGAGTTAATGCTTGATTTATAAGCAAAAAACAAACAAACAAAAAACAAACAATAAAAACACGACAAAATCACTACGCTTGGTTAAGCCTTGATAAAAACTTTTAATCATGACAAAATGAATATGCAAATAATATCTGGCACAAATGAATCAAGGAAATATCTATAGATTTCACAGTGTTACGAAGTTTTCCGAAAAGTCAAAATACGAGTTTTCGATCAGTGTATCGCAATACGTATCATTTTCATGTCTGAACCGGTAAACCGGTTATATTGCGCAGCCCTAGTTTTTAGTGCAGTGAATCAAGCTTCTCTTCATTGAGGAGGTGGAAGGGGGTTTCAAAGTTCACTACATTAGTTATCGGTACTGGTTAAAGATAAGGTGTGAATGCTCATAATTAGGTGTTATCAGCCTAAATGGCAACAAAGTTGTGAGTAGAACTAAGAGATCATTCTCCCTTTGAAGTGTCTTTAAGGGACGCTGAAGTAGCCTGGTAGTTAAAGTGTTTGCTTAACATGCCAAGACTCAGGTTCAATTCCCCACATGGTGCAATGTGTGAAGCTCATTTCTTAGAACTCGTCATTTTCTTTCTGGAATATTGCTATATCTGCATAAATCCGGCTCACCGCTTAAAATTGATAGCGAAAACTGGACTCACCTGCTGAGGTGTGATACTCTTTGTGACGCTATCTACAATCCAGCGGACCATGTGCTCTTGTTCAAACCTCCTCTTGGTCGACTGCAGCTCCAGCTGGTAGTCCTATAACAAACAAAAGGGACTTTGCTCAACACAGTGAACTCAACACCACCAACTGGTGTCGGTGATGGATTAAACAATCGTTTGCATTTCATCTACTTCATATCATGACCTGCTTGATATGAGTGAGTGAATGTGGGCCAAGGAAAACAATGGCTGACATTATGAGCAGTGAGTGAAGGACAAGATGACACAGCATCAGTCAGGTTACTATGGTTACCATGGTACATGTAACAACCTGATCATCATGCATGAGGTACTGGGGACCTTACATGCCCAGGAATGTCAGCTGTGATGCTGACTTGATAGAGAAGACTTACCAGCCTCTTCTTGACCTCATCGTAGACTGTCTTCAGTCTCTGTCTGTAAATGGATTCAAGCTGGAGGTCAACATTCTCCTGAAAATAGAAATAAATCAAACTCGTCAAAAGCCTTGCAGAGTGAGATTTTGAAATAATTCTGTCAGCATAGATTGATCCATTCTCTTCCCACAGAGGTTACTTGTCATATCTTCCTACGAACCTCTGTTCTAATACGGCCATATTTCCCGGTTCTCGTAAAATCCCCTAGCGGCAAAAGATCACAACACGAATTATCTCCCTTCTTTCTATCCAATCAGAACACGTGTTACATCGACTTAGATTCAACTTGACTAACACAAGCAAATGCGGGGCCACAAATATCCCCCATCTGCCGGGGAATTGTGTTGATGTTACACACAAGACGTTTAATGGCTAGCTTGTCCGTTGTCAACGAGGGCAATGGAGACGCCACTGATCCGCCATAACATGACTGAGTTCTGTTTAGAAGAAACGTTTGCGCATCGCGCAGGGGAAGAAATTTAGTTTTTCTGAAAGCATGCGGAAATTACCGAGGCCTTGCGATTGATCACTTTTGAAACAACGTCGCTGATTGCACAACTAACTCTGATTGTCTCCAATCACGAGTCTTCAACGCTCACACCATGAAAGGGCCGTATTAGAACAGAGGTTACGTAGGAAGATATGACAGGAGTAACCTCTGTGGGAAGAGAATGAGATTGATCATGGATTCCTAAAAGTGGGAGGTGTTGTCCTTTTACCTATGTGCTATGTATACAGAACAAAAAACATTAAGTATCATGAGTATTATTGGGGATACTTTTTGAATGAGTGAGTGAGTTTAGTTTTATGCCTCACTCAGCAATATTCCAGCCATATGGCAGCGGTCTGTAAAGAATCGATTCTGGACCAGACAATCCAGTGATCAACAGCATGAGCATCGATCTGCGCAATTGTACTTTTTGATGTGAAGACTGAGTACACTATCATAAAAGAAAAAATCCCTGAAGCATTTTCCGTTATAGCTGTCAATGTCCAATGTTTGAAATTAAGCCTGAAGGGAATGAGGTGGATTTGAGTGTCACATACTGACATAGCTTTTCACCCAAACATGCACAACCTGATTTTGTGAAGACCCAAGTCATATCTCCACAACAAATGTCAATACACGTTTATTGAAGAATGTAGGGTATCAAATTATCTTCAGTGAATGGAATCATAGAAATGTGTATACAGCTACACCAAGTTTCAAGAGTGAGCGAATTTAGTTTTACACTGTTTTTAGCAGAAATGGGCTTCACACATTGTACCTACATGGGGAATCGAACCTGGGTCTTCAGCTTGACAAGCTAACGCTTTAAGTTTAACCACTAAGCTACGTCACCGCCCCCAAGTCCATTTTCACCATATTTAGTAATATAAAACAACAATTTCAGTTTCAAGGATTTCTGTTTACAGAATTACCACAGCTGGTGTTAACCCATTCAACACCACAGGCCGAATAATTGGCCACAACGTTATGAGTCCCCAGACACGGGAGGACGATTAATTGGCCAGGCAAGCAGTAGTCACGTCAAAATGAGATATAATTTTAGGAACCTACTTGCCTTATGATTCATATTAACGAGTGGAAAGCCACTGATATCAGGAAATAGGCAACGATATATATTATTTAAGAAATCTTTTCATAATAATTTTCCGATTGCGTAAAATGAAAATATAAATGAAAAAGGCATGGGGATATTATGACATGTTACAAATGGGAAAAAATCGCCATAGATTTGGCTTCTTTCGTGGTTTATCTGGACATTATAAATGAAAGCCTTCATCAAAAATAAATTTATTTATTTAAGTTGTAGTTGTATTATTTCAATAAAATGATCAAAAATAAAGAGCATTTCATATTTATCAACAGTAGGATTAGAGCTTTCAAATGGTGTATGAGATGTAAGAACAATAACATTTTACAAGCTCATATTTTCCTCGATAAACATAGGCTTCATCTATGACCTTAGAGTCTCTGGGAACTCGGTGTCATGGCAGTAAAAGCTTCTGGTTGACTGGTGTTGAAACATTCAAATCTGCAAAATAACCTGGATCACTGATTTCCCGGTGCAAACATAGCTGTGTAACCAACATACCCTTTTAGCCTGGAAGATGTACTTCTGTCCCTCTTCCTGCCAGATGGTCTTCTCGCTGGCAGTGATGACATCTTCGTACACCTTCTTTGCTTCTGTGACGGGCTTGACGAAACGTTCCTCAGCGGCCACCTGTGGATATTCCATGAACATTTTAATCCAGTGGAAGAGATCCTGCTTGAGTGAGGCATCATGACACAGTACAACCCTACTTTACCTCATCACACTCGCAGATTATCCGATCCTATTTTTGTGGATCAATGCTCATGTCATTCACTGGACTGTCTGGTAAAGACTTGACTAGTTACAGACTAGTTACTTATCAAGACAACAAGCATCCAATGATCATGTCAGGCAATCAAAATTTTAGAAAGTCTTATTATTGTTCAACCGTTATATTTCCTGAATTTGACATTAAATAACTACATAGGACAAGATTTATTTAATCTACTTTCACATAAAGGTACAAGCATTAATGGTTTGAAATATTTAAAAGAAAATTGTAACATGCCTTTGATTCCAAATAATATTTTGAGCCTTGTGATTCCAAAAATTAGTGGTCATAGGTGAACCCGGAGATTTGATGGAATTTATTCTATAATTTATTTCTCTATTAACACAGACTACACTGTGACATAATTACACATAACTTTAGATCAAATAAATTAAACTATTTTGCACTGAAAAATTTCTCACTTCGGTTTAAATATTTTTTCTTGTGCGATATTTCAAACACAACACGTTTAAGAAGGTTGACCAAATAGGCACAAGTCTCACAATCACGCACACTGGCAAAATCTGTCATTGTTAACAAGCATTTGTTTATCATGGTCATGTATGTAAATATTTGTAAAAAGGCCTGTATTTTGCAGCCATTTCAGTACCCACCGCATTTCTCTCATCAATGTATTTGCCAAGTCTTGGTCCTAGTTTCCTGTTAAGGATGTAGAATGCTGCCCAGAATCCAAGAACCTCTGCAAAGTTGTGGTCAACAACCCATACTTCCTTTGAAAGTAAGTAGGCAATCAAACCAGTGCCGAAAAGGTAGGGTCCTGCAAATGAGAAAGTACTGGTACTATAGAGAAATCGTCACCTATGACACTATTATAGTTAGATCAAGGAGTGTCAACCTTACATAGGTGAAAGTATACAGTGTTAGGTTCTCAAGGTTTTCACACAAAGTATCCTGGTACTACCCAAATTCATGCTCTTAATAACATTATTATTATAATAGTAATGACAAAGACCCTATTAAACAGTGTTGGTTAACAAGACTAACACCATGCAGTCATAACATTGTGACATCATTGTTTCTCCACTCACTCAAGACATCACAACTGTCTATTAGACTGAGACTAGCAGGACGAGTTCTTTTTATCCCATAAAAGAAGTAACAATACAAACAAGCCAAAACAACCTGCGGACAAGTTAGATTTGACAATTGGTGTTTACGCTTTGAGATTGGTGCTCCCTTCATATTTTGCAAGTAAGAGAACATCACCTTCAATCATGTCAATAGTATCAGTAAACACACTATAGCAATTACCTGTAACACCAGTCTTGGGGTAGAAGAACTGGAAAACTCCTTCTGGGATGAAGCCTAACCTGACCTTGGCACTGACTTCTGGCTGGACTGGATGGGGGAAATTGACCTTATCTCGCTCTGGCCCATAGAAAATTTCATTAGCTTTGTCCCAGTTCTCAATCTGTTTAGTGGCGCTGCTCTGCTGTCTGCTCTGAACACCTGCTACCAGTGTCCTGAAAACAAAGGATTAATACACAGTCAAGACTAATAATAAGAAAGGAATTTACTATCATTCTCAGTTCTCAATTATTCTTTGCTTGACTGTTGTAGCATGAGCAAGTGAGTATGTATGGTTTAGCAATATTCCAGCAATAGAACACCAGAAATAGGCTTTACACATTGTACCCATGTGGGGAATCAAACCCGGTCTTCAGCATGACTAGCACATGCTTAACTATTAGGTTACCCCACCGCCTCGTCATAGCATGATGAAAATATAATATAAATGTGATCAGACCATGGATCAGACCATGGATCATGTTCTTGATTTGACAAACAAAATGAGGCTGGTTATAACAGCACACTGGACTTTCTCCAAAGGTTGCTCTTTCCAAAATACTGGTTGTTAGCATGGTTGGAGAAATATGTCTGAAAATACACATCAAGTACAACACAAGAACTCCATTGAGTCAGTAGTATTACCTGGGTGATTGAAGTCTGACAATGGTGCTGAAAGCACCTGCAAAATAAAATAAAATAATCATTAGAAATACATAATCAATGTTATTGCGTATTCATAGTTGGTTGATTGGTTTGTTATTTGATGCCTCACTCTGCAATATTCCAGCTAGTTGGCAGCGGTTTGTAAATAATCGAGTTTGGACCAGACAATGAGCACACAGCATGAGCATCCATCCAGGTATGTTGGTAGTTGACTGTGATTGCATAACTCCCAAACTGAAGGCACTGAGTGATGTTGAGATCTCAGGAATACTACAACTGAATTGAAGATTACAGATTTTTCACATGAGTAAAGTAACCACCTTTGTGAAATCTCATGACATGAACTCTAAACATTCAAACAGATATTTAAGTCATCTAACCAACTAACATGACTATGGCATAATGCTACTGTTAACATTGTTCATGTTTTGTTCAAAAATTTAACGCAGACTTGTAAAATGTAATGATGGGGGTGCCCCTGACCTCCACTATTACACAGTGATATGCTTTAAGAGTAATTACAAACACTTATCAGGAAGCATCGGTAAAGTAAGATGTCACATGACATTGGATTATGGTTATGTTCTCATTGGGCACATTCAACATTGTTCATCCTGTAATTGACAATATCCTCAGTATTCAGAAATGATCTGATAACTGAAACAGCTCCATGCATAAAATAATGTGCTGCAGCAGAAAGAGTGAATTGTGCTTTTAAATGACAGAGGAACTAATGCTAAATGACCTCAGCAACCTTGTTACTATGATGACACACAGGAACATTTATGAACTGATATTCCATACTAATAAACTTGCAGATGTGGCCTCTGTCATTGAGCATATTAGATAACAGTCCTGTGGACGACATGATAATTTTGTGGGTGCAGTCAAGTAACAAAATTAGCAAACTGTCCATTATCAGATATTCACATTCAGCAAATAATGTGACAATTAAGATTCATTTCATATGGACGTGATTCAATTGAATCAATGATATGTCTTGCTAATTCGTGCACGATTACATTTTGGAAAGACTTTAGACAGGCTTACGCACGCTATTAGGCATGGTGTCATTCAGATGTCATTGGTCGACATTCTCCCCACAAACATTAAATAATAACAACATATGGCATATATTAATCTATAGCGTCTAAACGACTTGGGTAAATCGTTTGTTGCTAATAGATTACGGGTTGATCTTGATATAATTTTGCATTTCATGCTAACAAAACGTCCATGCCGGTTTCTCCATACTTCTGAAATTACTGTCAATAGGAATAATTAACATCCATGTAGTCTTGAAAATATCTACCAGAAGTTTATGCAGTGATTTTATGCAAAGATATGACTTGGGATATCTTAATTACCCGATCTAACCGCAAGTGAGGACAACATCTCTACTTCGGTTTGTGTTGTCCTTCGTGCAACATGGAGGGCAGAGGCCCGGATGATCATTTCAAGGGAGGCAACCGCGACCTGAACTTACATTCGTTTGCAACCAATGAGTACAACAGCTGACCAAAGGAGACTTCAACCAGATCAAATGGCAGCATTTAAATATGACATAAATATCACATACGTAAGTTTAAAAAAATATATATATATAGTACATATCTTGTCAATGGGAATTTGTATAATATTATATGATTTTATTACTTTTTCTATCTCTCTGGGGGTGGTCGTTTGGGGTGGTTCGAATCCCCACATGGGTACAATGTGTGAAGCCCATTTCTGGTGTCCCCTGCCGTGATATTGCTGGAATATTGCTAACAGCGGCGTAAAACTAACTCACACACTCAAGAGAGTGGAGTATTTTTTCTGAGGTATTATTTAAATGTTTTAACACTTTGTTTTAAATATATTATCAACCTGAAACTATGATTTAAACTGACATCCATAGATTTCTGGTACACCTAAGGGATACATCTGTGCATGGCAGATTTCTGTGCCTCAAATGAACCTTGACACCCATGGCCTTAAATCATTACAGACATTTGTCAATATGTCTGCAGGTAGCACATAGCTGCCATGCCTGATAGTCATGGAAATTGACTGAAATGGACATTTGAAAGTGATACTTGGTATTCCATGGCTTATGTATGTTTCAATAATGTATACAAACACAACATTATCATACCCTACTTATTATCTTTTATCACTCTGTAAGTTATTGATTCTCGACAGGTTATAGAGAGGTCAAAACAGACTGTGTGTGAGGAAGACCTACTTTATAGTTAGAAAGATGGTGAGGTTAAGACTGTATTCATGTCATTGTACCCATGAAAAGGTAAATGTTGCTCATAATATCGATCACTGGTTTGTCTGGTCTAAACAGGATTATTTAGAGGCCATTGTCACATACTACTGACCGTTTGTACACATTGTAGGTAGTCCGTCAAATTTTTCATGTTTAAATGAAGCAGCCATCACACGGCCAACTAAAGTTTGGCAACACATGTTGTCAAACTTGAGTTTGAGAGTGTGAACATTCCAACAACTTGCCACCAACACCAATTTCAGAGTTGTCAAACTGTTGTCGAGATTAATGGGATCGGTCTCTATTCTCATTAACTTTTCCATCAAACTTTCAGTGTTGTCAAACTCGAGTTTGGTGGGTCAAGTGTTGTCACACTCGTGTTGTTCAGAAACAACCAATCGCAGTCAATGAAATTGTCACAAGATGTTTTGGTCGCCTGGTCAACTGCACCGATAGAGACATATGGCGCTCCAATCACACAATAGTTTGACATGTGTTTGAGGTGTGAAAACGCTGAGTTTGACAACTTTTAAGATTATAGCAACATGTGTTGTCAAACTTTAGTTTGCCATGTGAAGGCTGCTTAAGATACCCTTCATCATCAGCTTGGCACAAGGAACATATAATATACATATGAAATTTGTAATGTTCTCCTTGTCTTAATGGAGCGAACTGAATGCACAGTGAAAAGTCCAATTCTTCTGATGAACAATAAACCTGATACCATACGTCTTTGATTATAATGCCCAGGCATATATTTCTTTAGACACTATTTACCCCAGCTTTTTAGGTATGGCATCAGTATTCAATGCCTGCCCCATATAATTTCAATTTCCGACTAATGATTCAATGTCCTCTGTTCCTCTTAAAAACTTCACTAAAATTCTTCTGTTTAGTGGAAAAAATGTACTGTATGCATAGAAACAGTGTTTATTTGAGGAAGTGGGGTAAGGCAATGACCCTATTTGCATATATTTATAGCATGGCAGTATTGGCACAGTCTTTTAAAAAATTTCTGACAAACATTGTGACATTTTTATATACTTTCCCAACACTGAGGAGATGTTTGTTTGTTGAACAAAAGTCTGTTAGTCTGTCCTTGGTTTACGAATTTTTAAGTAAATCAATTTATGCTAAAGCAAAAGTCTACTTTCTCGAGGTAAACATGTACATGTAGAAGGGAGGTAACTCCGCTACACCAGCTGCTGTGTTTCATTTGCAGACAGCTTGTGGCATGACTGACTGACTGAGTTTGGTTTTATGCCTCTTTTAGCAATATTCCAGCAACATCACGGCGGGGACACCAGAAATGGGCTTCACACATTGTACCCATGTGGGGATTCGAACCCGGGTCTTCGGTGTGACGAGCCAATGCTTTAACCACTAGGCTACCCCACCGCCCCTTGTGGCATGAAGTGTTACAGTGTTCAATAAGGCTTCACAGAAACCCTTTTTTACTTATAACTCATCAGAAACTGTAATAGACTGTGCTTTTCATGGACTTGCTGTTTGTACTCATGGCAACAACAACTGTCCACTCACACCCAATACAGTGATCAGTATCATTTTGGGACTATAATTGGCTTCTGCACCATTTAGCACAGGTTTGCTTCATGACAATCCTTTGTCAGCACAGACCCATGCTCACTGACTTCACCACTGTGGAACTCCGGGATATCCTTTCACAGCCATACATTTTGTATGAGGTCAATTAAATATTGACTAGTGTTGTATAAGCTTTTCACTCACTCACTCACTCACTCACTCACTCACTCTCACTCACTCACTCACTCACTCACTCACTCACTCACTCACTCACTCACTCACTCACTCCTCTCACGCTCGCTCACTCACTCACTCACTCGTATGGCTTCCTCCTGAATTATCCAACGTTGGACAGGTTGTCATGTGGAGACTCCCTGTGCCTTGCACTGAATCTGCATAAACTGGTTCTACTGGACAGTTTCTGTAATTATTCATATGCTTTTGCATCAATATAAATTGTAATTTAATGAATCACATGTATTGTGAAATAGGATTTTAGATCTTAGTATGTTTTGTATTATGAGCCTCTTGTCATGATACGACACTGTACTGCTATATTGTTACACCACTAGTTTGTATCAATGTTTCTTTTACAGTCATTAAGTTATTGACTCATTATACAGTTACATTATACTTAATCCAAAGAATCTTGTTTTAGTGTACTGAACAAAGATATATGATAATAGAGAGAATTTAAAGCCTGTTATCCTATTTAATCATTATACCATATCAAAAACGTGAACTTATATACAATTTTGAAAAACTAAACTTTTGAAATCTTGGATTTTGCACATTTAAAGGGTCAAGGCTTGAACAGATTTTACTGAAACATCCTTTGTCTGGTGAGTCCGATAGCGTTAGGTAGTAGTTATGAATCTCCTGATACAGAGCAATGTCTCAGGTTCAAGTAGGATCACTTCAGAACATTTCCTGGTAAAATTCATAACTAAATGTTGGGTGCGATGCCAGATCATGTGACTTCCATATATGGTGTCCATGAAAGTAATTACACCGGAAGTGCCAAAAACAATAGTAAAATGGAACAAAGCTAATTACTGCAAACACTCCACCTTTGACATGTTTCCTTGGTTCTAGTAGTAACATTGTGGAGGCTAATCTGGAAGACTTCAACCCCCTGACCAATGGAGTTATCGAGATATTGTAGCTAAGCGGAGTGAGAGATTATTGATTTACTCTCTCCTGGGTGAAGTAAGACCTAATTGTGTGTCATGAACCGATGCTGTGCTTCGGCTTACAGCTCTCTCCCATACCAACCAATAGCTCGAGTGAATGTTGGATGGAGACTAGAATGTCCATTAATAGAAGAAAATGAGTCTCTAGTCGGATATACAGAATTATGGTATCACAGCTCATTCCTGGAGAATTTGAGCACTCAATGCTGGAATGTTAGAACCAAGAATTTTTCACTATTGCTAAGTGTAGAGAGTCTGCTATTATTGGTATTGTTTACTGGCAATGTTTTTGGTTCATGTGCACTGGAAACAGACAGTGAATATCGATTGAAAACATAATATAAAACCTATAAAAAGTTGAGATATATTTTTCCTCTTCCCTGGTGTGTTTTGTACGTAAAACAAATCTCTAGAGACAACTTTTTTAAATATACAGTTCTGTGAAAAGCCATTTTTTGCCACTAGTCAGTAATGTTTTCTCCGAATGTCATGAATTTGGCATGTGGAGCAATCAGTGGTGGGAATATACTTGTATTTCCCATTTTTTTATATTTTTAAGTTTTACCTCAGTTCAAGGTGAACTTTGTGTTGTGAGTTTTTCCTTAAAGGTCGCATGCAACGCAAAACACTACTTTGCAGATTCTGATACCTTTCGGTATGGACTTACAGTAACAAATGATCAAAAATGCAAATTCAACTTATAAAGTTGAAAAATAACGCTGATGACACCCCCACCCCCACCCGGGCTACAAATTGCAGTTCAAACGATTCACTGATTGAAAAGTGGTTTCAGTAGCTGTGCTGCACTGCGCCCATAGTGCATGCGCGGTGATTAGGTAGGCGACTCGTAAAAAACACAGCAAGTCATCATCTCTGTTTACACACAATGAGCCCTAAGCGTATCGGCAAATGAACCAGCCAATGAAAGACTTCGTTACACTTGAGTGCACAACCACCCGCTCTGACTGGGTTCGGTCTCCTGGGTGCTTCGTTTTGAGGGAAGTAAACCCAAGTACAAAATATTGCACTTTTGATTCGCAATTGTACGCTTATAATTTTGTTTATTTGCTTTTTCACAATCAACAATTTATATTATATGTCATGAATAAGTGATAGTTGTGTTTTAATTATGATTGTTTTTTTGGTTTCATGTGACCTTTAAGGTGATAATGTAGCGTTAGTTTTTCTTCAGCGTTTGTGCAGAAAATATTGAAGATCAATGCTGTCAAAAACTTTGAAAAGTTTGAAATAATAGATAATGAGTTGTTATGAAAATAACCTCTTTTCAATTCAACTTCCAGAAATTTCTTTTTTTTGGACCTTTTGGAAATAAACTTTAACCCTGATAAAAAGTAATTTTGCTCTTTTTCTCAAAGTCTGTAGATGTGAAATAAATCAGGTCAAAGATTACATGTGCAAGTGATGTCTGATTAAGGATGGAAAATTACCTGGTTGAAAACAAGAAAACACAAAAAAATATTTTTGGTAATGTAGAACATTGCAGATTGTA